GTTGCTGCTGCTGACGGCCGCAGACCATCCACATGCTTCGCAGGCCGGGTGGTGCAGAACCTTACGCAAAATTTGTTTTGGTGGTTCTTTGACGATATCCCATGTATTTGTGTTGATCAACTCCCATGTACCTGGCTTCTTTCACCGCACGGAACCCCCAAGAAAATGATTCATGGCCATTCTGGGCCCAAGCTTTGAATTCCCCCCCACCTCTCCGGCCTTCGAAGTCCCGGCGTCGCTTTCGCCTTCCGCCGACTCCGAGGCCTGGCTGCGGCGCCGCTGCCACTGCGAGCTGCGCCTGGGGCTGGCGGCCGCGGCCGCGAGCAGCGCGCGCCTCGTGGCGCGGCGGCCCAGCGCACAGCACCTGCTGCTGCGGGCCCGCGCGCGGCTCAGCCAGGCGCCAGGGGCGCCGGGTTTTCCGTGCTTCAGGCTCAAGCAAGACAAGGGAAAGGGGGGGGTGTCGGTTTTTGAGTGGTGCCTCTATGGGTGATGTTCCTTTTGTGGTAAAAACATATGTATATATGGTAGAGGTCTGGCACACCCCCCCCCCATGGTCATGGTAGCCTTAAATAGGGCCCCACCCCCTCCTCCCCCTGTGGGCCCGCTGGTTTTGCAGGTTATGGTCATCTTGCAAAAGGCCTCTCCCCTGGGCCCGATGGTGTCAGCTTAGGGCCAAGGCTTCGAGAGTCGGCGAGCGGCCACCCCCCCCCCCCCCAAGTGGGGGGGGATACCATCGGGGGGGGGGGGTGTGGCCGCTCGCCGACCGGAACCATATATATATATATATATATTTTCATTTTTCAACGTTGTGGTTCTATACTGCTCCCCGACAGGAGCCAGCGGAAGCTGTGTGTCGTGGCAGAACCTGTGCGGTCGGACCGCGGGAGGATTTGCTTGGTCAAGTTCTGCTTTTCGTTGTCAAGGTCGGGGTTTCGCTTATTTCTTCTGCCGGGGGGGGGGGGGGGGTTGTGGGATTCGACAAGACAAATATTCGGCTTCCCCAAAGGTTGTTCTGGCGGTGTTTGCTTAGATCTACTGCAACCATACCTGCAGAATAGATGCCATTGGCATTCTGAACACCTGCACGGACCGGCAGAAACACCCCTTTTGTTCCTTTCTGTTGGGTTCCATGTTACGTAGTTCTCACGGGGCCAGCTGCCCAGGAAGGACATTGAGCGGGCAGCCCAAGTGGATGCGACATGTCGGCATCAGAAGCTGCTTTCGCGTGCACAGTGGCAGCTGAAGCGACAGCAGAGGGCTCGTCGCGACTTGGCGTCCGGGGGGGTGGTGGTATGCTTGGCACCGCCTTCCTTTTGTGTGGGGCGCCTCACAATCACCCCGAAGTGAAACACTTGGTCCGAGCCCAAGTAAAGTCGAAGTGCAGCCTGAGGACAACACAATGTCATCAGTGCCTTCCACTACTCCCAGTAGTGCCCTTTCACCCTTGTTTGGGGGAGAGTTCCCCTGCTAAAATAGACAAAAAAACAGTTGGCCACCCTTATTCTAGCCTCTCAAATCTGGAGGGGATGAGCATCAAAAAACAATTATTTAGGGGACCAACCAAAAATTATTTAGGGGACCAACAAAAATATTTAGGGGATCAAACAGCAATAATTGAGGACCTAGATTTTGCCAAAGGGACCACGGTGATCCTCGGCCGAATGCGACTGAACTTCGGCCCATCGGCCGATCGATCTGCCGAGGCTGGTTCGACGGCAACGAGGCGTTCGAGCGCTCCCGCGAGGCAAACAGCAGCCAGCGCTGCTTCCAGTGCCAACGCCTCCGGGCAGGACGCGGTCGGTCTCTCGCGGTCTCTCGCGCTCGTTTTCCGGCGCCGCAGGTTTTTGGGCGGACGCGAAAGTCTCCTTCAAGGTGTAAGTGTCTATTTTTTTGTAGTGCGAAACGAGCACGGGGATGCCTCAACTCAGCTGTTGGAAGAAATCGTAAACAAAATGCAGAAGCGGTCCCTTGGCACCTCTCAGAAATTATTCTTCTTAGAATTGCTGACAGGTGTTTCCTTGTCATATGATGGAGTCTGAAGGGAGAACGGTCCAGCTTGACTTTGAGTGGCAGCGTGACGTGATCAAAGAGGATCAAGTGAGCAGGTTCGAGACCCCCCCGCAATTCTGGACTCAGGTGGGTAGCAAAATGAAAGAGCTAGGGTTACGCAGGTTTTAGTCTTTGTGTCCCTTCCCCATGGTGCCATTTAAGATACGAATTTTTGAGCCATTTTCCAGGTGTCTCTTTTGTCGACTGGCAAGAGGACACATGGGCAGCGGCAAGATGGAGGGGCGGTACCTTTGCACTGAGTGCTGGGAATGCTGGTCCAAGATTCGGCGATGCCAGCAGGTGCTCCTGTCTGACATGTTTTTTTGTGTTTTTTTTCCCTCGCCGATCTGTTTTACGTTGATGGTGTTTACATTGTTACTCAGTTGCCACATTGCTTTCACAATGCTGAAGCACCAATTAAATGCTGGGCTGACCGAGTGAGCCTAACTTTGGATTTCCGGGTTTTCCCAATGCTTTCTATCAAGGGAGCCTGTTCTAATGCACGGCTTAGATTCAACTCAGGATGCGTGGAGAAATCCATCCAGGAGCCATGTCGCATGTGTGCGCTTGCCAAGGCAGAGCTGGAACGCCGCATCGAGAAGGCGACATACTCGGACTACAGCACGGGCACAGAGGAGCTTCCATCCCTAGATGATGTTCCTCAGGATTGGGACAGCCGCCATCCAATGTGGAACAGAGAGAACCTTGAGCGTCCTGATTGGCAGCTCCGGACTTCGAAAGCGCGGACGAAAGCTGCTTGTTCGCGGTGAGCTAAACTGCAGAGCTGTTTTTGGTCTCTTGGGCCATTGGTTTGGTGGCTTCGAGGTGTTAGTGATGTGAAGTTTGGGTCTCCCCATCAGGCTCATCGCGCTTACGCCGCCTGGCCTTGCGCGGACTGAGCTCCGCAATTCTGCCGGAGCCTTGGAAGCTGGGAATCGGCGGGAAGATCCGCTGCCGCCTTTTGCCACTTCTTGATGCAAGGGGCCAATCTGCAGAGCTGCACCCCGAGAATGACGAGTGTCAGAGGCCAGGCAAAGCTGAGCTTGGCGCAGAGATCGGGTGCCAAGCACTTTCGGAATCCGCGATGCATCGCAGAGTCGTAAGACAAGGAGCTCAAGCCATCCCGCTGGACATGCCGAAGTGGAGGGTGTTGACTTTGAAGCCAACACCCGCATGCCCAGCAGGATAGTGCTCAGAGGAATGCCCTTTTGAGTTTCTCACCGCTGGTGTGAAAGCTCCGCCTGTGGCGGTCCAGCAAGTCCCGTCTCCCTGGTCCGCGCAGCAAAAGTGGCCAGAAAACGGCGCCCCAATTGATGGTGCACCGACTTGTCGGCTGGAGCAAGCGGGAAACCACGTGGCACACGGTTGCTTGGCTACTCGAGTTCACTTGCACAGGTTTAGGGATCCCCAAAGAACCCATGTCACACCAACCATCGGGCAGGCAGTCGACTTGTACACGGAATTTGCCAAGCGCCAGGCGGGGAAACAACAGGAACTCGAAACGAGCGGAGAGAAATCCAGAAGCCCCTTCCGCCGTCCGCTGCCCTAAGTTCGAAGCCGCATCTCCCGGTTCCGGCCACGTCGTCAGGAGCCCGATGACATTTGCCATACTTCGGTGGCGCGTGCCTGAGCGCTATGCAGGCACATCACTGAAGCCTTGTGAGGGTCGTGGTAGAGGTGTGCACGTCCTTGAGAACTTCCTCCCCCACAATAGGCCCCTCAGACGCCTTGCTTTGCCAAGATCTTTTGCAATTCAATCTTGAGTGTCTATTTGTCAGAGGCGGAGGGGCACCTATTTGTTCCGAGGAGTCTGCACCTATTTGATCCGAGGGGTTTGGAATGGGCGCCTTTGGAGCAGTATGTGCTGTGGATGTTGCAATCAGGAGGGTTGCAATTGGCAATTCATCTGATTGCAGGCACTTCTGACGTGCTGGAACAACAGGAAACAAGGAAGAAGGGCGCCTCATGAAGCCACCAACATATGCAGCAATCATGCCAAGCTGCATGCGAGCAAAGCAAAGAGCTGGGAACACAGAGAAAAGGACTGGTAGGAATACAACGAAATTTTCGGGGAACAGAAGGGGGCAGCAAGACACGGCAGGACGCCAGTCAGGGACAACAACTCCGCCTTTCCTTCATTTGGCATTTTCGTTGCTGCGACGGAACTTTGGGTCCTTGTGTTTTTGTTTCAAGCATCGTGAAGTGGACTCATGCCTGGCAGCCAAGGTCAGTGCGTGCGAGCGCGCTTCACAGTGGGTGCATGCCCTGGTTGCTCTCGGGGCGCGGGCACTGCAGCCTGTTTTGTTTCGCGCAAGAAGATGCCAGAAGTGTGAAGGGTTTCCGAGCCACTTATATATGTATCTTTTTGGGAGGCTCCAAAAGTGGCGATCGTTTCAATGGAAGCCACCAGTAAATTGATCAACTTTTGATTTTGGAAATCCAGTGGCCCCTGGTTTGTGACAACTCGCTCGGTTCCAAGCTTGACATCTCCACAGAACTGCACCTTGCAGCCAAGTTTATGTGGCTCAATTTGTTGCAGGGGTGCGGCTGGGTCAATCTATCACGCCTATCTTGCCTGGACTTTTGGATGCGGTGTTCCATCGGAACCGGCCATCGGAACTGGTCTGAATCAGGCAACCCCCACTTGGTGGTTTGGATTGGTGGCTCGGGGATTTGCACCCCGGGTTCTTGCAGAGTGTGAATGGGAAACCACCCCCTAACCACCAATCCAAACCAATCCAAACCAATCCAAACCAATCCAAACCAATCCAATCCAAACCAATCCAAACCAATCCAAACCAATCCAAACCAATCGAACCCAATCGAACCCAATCGAACCCAATCCAAACCAACCAAACCAATCGAAACCAATCCAAACCAATCCAAACCAATCCAAACCAATCCAACCCAATCCAAACCAATCCAACCAAATTCAATCCAAACCAATCCAAACCAATCCAAACCAATCCAAACCGATGCAAACCAATCCAACCCAATCCAAGCCAATCCAACCAAATCCAATCCAATCCAAACCAATCCAAACCAATCCAAACCAATCCAAACCAATCGAACCCAATCGAACCCAATCGAACCCAATCCAAACCAACCAAACCAATCGAAACCAATCCAAACCAATCCAAACCAATCCAAACCAATCCAACCCAATCCAAACCAATCCAACCAAATTCAATCCAAACCAATCCAAACCAATCCAAACCAATCCAAACCGATGCAAACCAATCCAACCCAATCCAAGCCAATCCAACCAAATCCAATCCAATCCAAACCAATCCAAACCAATCCAAACCAATCCAAACCAATCGAACCCAATCGAACCCAATCGAACCCAATCCAAACCAACCAAACCAATCGAAACCAATCCAAACCAATCCAAACCAATCCAAACCAATCCAACCCAATCCAAACCAATCCAACCAAATTCAAACCAATCCAAACCAATCCAAACCAATCCAAACCGATGCAATCCAGCCCAATCCAAACCAATCCAAACCTCCAATCCAAAAGTGATTGAGAATCACTTTTGTCGCCAAGCGCTTGTGTGCCATCGGCCTCCCAATGGGACGCTAGCTGGGCAGTCCGAGCCGCGGAGACAGCGGCGCCGAGCCGCGGAGATGGGAGCAGATGTCATGGAAGGCAAGTGGCGAGCTCACCGATTCGGATTTGGGGTAAAAACGGGCGAAAGCCAGGGAAAAGATCCTTTACTTGGACTGGAGTCATTATTGTGACGGTTTCTGGGGGTTGGTTGGGTGCCTAAGGTTGCTTGAGTACTCATATTACGCCCGCGCCAGCTATGCCAGTACAGGCGTATTTGTTTTTGCCATGTAAGATATGCTGCAAGCTCAGCCAACTGCGGATCGAAGAACTGCCCACCGCCTAAAGTCAGGTTACCCCCCACTGGCTGTTTTTGACTACGTGGTCTGGATTTGCACCCCGAGGGATGGAAAAAATCGCCGAGCCACCGTTTGGCTCCAAACCGCCTGGTTTTGAGGCCAGCGCTCCGGGCGTGGAGGTCCCATGCGAGAGCAATCTGGCGGCGATGGCGAAGCTGCGAGGGGCCTCCGCGGAGGAAGCGGCCAGGCTGTTGCAAGCCATGGCCCGGGTGGAGGCGAGTTGCCGTTTGGGATGCGGAGCTGGGTGCTTTTTTCTTTTCGAAGGCGTAGCGTTCGGAGCAGTGGCGATATGGACCCCAGAGAAGGTGTGGAGGCAGATTTTTGCTTGCTTGCTTGCTTTTGTTGATGGCTCGCCGCTTGCCCGGGAGGCGCAAGTGGACCATTTCCACTGCGGGCTGATCATCGGCAAGGGCTCCTGGCAGCTGGCCCTTCGGGTGCTGAAGATGATGCCCCGTGGCCCGAAACGGGTCGCTGACCATACTGTGGATGGACGAAATCCGTTTCGCACCACTTTGAAACCATGAGAAACCTTTGTTGCTTGCATTTGCAAGGGAATCATCATTCCAGGGTTTCTTAGGTGGTGCAGGATTTCGTGCATGCACAGTAGGTTGTGCTCAAAAATGGATGGGTTCCGCTGGTTTTGCTTGGTTTCATTGCGAGATTTTCGGGGCCAAAAGACACCTGTGACTTGACTGGAACCCCAGTCCCGTCATTCTTGCCGCTCAACCTTTGCCGCTGAACTTGTCACTGTTGGTGGGGGCAACGCCATCACAGCGTCACGGCGCACCATCCATTCGTCCAACTGTTTCGTACCTGCACGCCCCTTCCAGGCGCGGTATGTCTGTCCGCGCGGCGGCGTCAACCTTCAACGCGGCCGCTTGGCGATTGATCCGAGCTTTTTGTTGGGAGCGTGGGCTACCTGTTTTGGGGCTTTGATGGGCTTATCAAGTACAACCCTGGCTTGAAACCCCACAACGTTGTGTTGCTCCTATCGAAAGATGGCAAACTCCAACGAGCCCGCTCTTTGCATCAACTGGTAATCAAGCTCGCCACGCATGACTTAGCTTAATCTTGGGCCTTGCGTCTGCCTTTGCAGCGAAACTTCCTCTTTTGTTGGTCAATGTTGGGGAAGACGGGAGGCAGCCCATCGGTTTTTTTGAGAGGATATCTGCGCAACCCCACCCCTCGCCTTTGTTCTCTCGGTGATTTTCGGGTGTTCGGAGCGCGAGACGCGAGTGACTCGCACTCAAGGCTATGACCGCCTGCGAGAAGCAGAGCCTCTGGCAGCGGGGGTCGTGGTTGCTGCTTCTGGCGCGGCAGCGGGCTGTGGCGCCAGACACGGCCAGAAAACGGGGGGGGGGGGGGAAAGAGGATATAAGAGGATGGGGGTGGGAGGAGGGTTTCTCAGTTCTGCAAAGTCGACCGGATCTGACCTGTTGGTCCATAGTCATGGCCCCAAAATGTTAACCTTGTGATCTGAGTCCTTGGGCAAGAGAGGTGTCCATTTGGCTGAAGACATTTTTCAGTACCCCGCCAGAGGGACGGTCTCTCTATGCTTCGAAAGCCAGAGGGCGCAAATATGTCGGAGATCCTCGGAGCAGAGGGCCCTGAACCCGAAGCGGCGTCCAAGTGCCGGTGTTCCTTGCTTTCCCGCTGACGCACAGTAGTATTTGTGGCCTTGCCGGCAAGCTGGGCGCTCAAAATGGGGTGCTGGAGCAGACGGCGCTTGGGACTCTGGCCTTTTCAGAGCTCATTCTTGCAAAAAGAGTGGCCATGAGTAGCCAGCCGAAAGGCTCCATTTCAAGGCTGCTGATCTTGTTGCCTGGGCCGAAGGTGAGCTACAACATCCGGCTGCGCCGATCGTGGCCCGGCTGCCTCGCATCCTTGTCCGAGATGCGGCAGCTGCTTCTCCAGCCGGATGAGTTTACCTCGTCTTCCCTGCTGGCGGCTCACAAGGCAGGAGAAGGAATCCAACCGAAGCATTTGCATTCGGTGTCGGGTGTTTGGAAAAGAAGATCAGCTTGATCAAACCCCGACCCGGAGATTCCCAGGCGTTCGTTCGCAGTTTTTGTGATACAGCCTTTGAGTGGGGAACGAGTCGTTGGAAAAGCTGACCGGTGCAGCCTTCGCAGTTTCCCACTCCTAGGCAGACACGAGCTGGAGACGCGCTGCAAGCCTCCTTAGCCTCATGACCCAGTTCCAGGCAGGTGTTCTATGCCACCCTGGGATTTTGCAACTGATTTTCAGCTCCCTGCTTCTTGACCATGAGCTTTTGAAGCCACAGGTTACCGTACCCTTGGCCGCAGCGGGCTGCCACCGTGACGCACGAAAGTTGGATTCAGGCTTCCCTTTCATTCAGAAGGAAGAGCAACCGCCTTTTTGAAGTTGTTTGTGGGTTGGAGAGAAAAACACAATATTTAAGACATTTGGTCCGACTATGGGACGAAAGGGTGCCAACTGCTGCTCAGTGAGAACGGAAAAGTCAAACGTGTTCCTGATAGAAACTCGGGCTCCCTCTCGAGCCTTCATGAAACCCTGTTGCTACAATGTTTGGACTTCGGCCCTTTCCAAAGACTACGCGAAGAAGGCGTCGCCCGCATTCCTGCTGCTAGCCAGAGCAAAACCAATGCATAACCAGTATTGCTGTGAACTCCCACTATTTTTGCGGGGGGGATACCTTTACCCAGGTTCCCTTTAAATTCGCGCCTTCTCTCCATGCTTTCCTCCCTAGGTCCAGGGTCAAAACCAATGGTACTACGTTGGGGTAGGCCATTTTACGCGCTTTTAGTGGGGATTGGGATGTTCACTGCAGGTCTGGGGCTAACCGGGATTTTGACCCATGGCCAGGTGATCCACTTTTTACTCGGACGGGGGAGTTCTGAAGGCCTGGCACCGGCACCGGCGCTCTGCGCTCTGCACGCCGTAGGTGCGGGTCACGGGCCCGGTGCAGAGCGCCGGCCTCCGCGCCGCCGGCGCCTGGCGCCGCGCCGCGCGGTCGGCGCCTCCGCGGCGTCCTTGGCGCCGCGCAGCGGTGGGGCGGCGGCTCGGGCGACTTTTTGTTCGTGTAAAACAGCGCGAAGGTTGTTGTTTCCTGGGGTTAGAAACGGAGGTTTTGGGTTGTAAAACCATGTGCTTGACGATTTTTCCTTGGAGTTGTTCTAGATGTTCCTGACTACCAACAAACAAGCAGACAGATTTGAGGGGCAGAAGCTGGAGAACAAACGTAGCGAAATTTGTTGGACACTTCGACATGGTTGCCCTGCCGGTCAGTGGGTACGTGGCGTTTTCCCATGAACACCGCGCGAGAAAACACACCTTTTCATATCAGGCTACCTGGCAAGTACGTAACACTGTCAGCAGCAAAACTCCCCACAAAAACCAGGGAGTCACTAAATTCACTAAATGTAAATGTTTCCTTGGAACTTGCGGTTCTGACCATGGCTCAGATACTTATGTGAAAATGGGATTCCCGCATTCCGACAGAACAAGAAGACCTCCGCATTCGGATGACCCGAGCCAACACTTGACTGCGGGCTCGTTCAAGGCATCTCAACCTCCAACACCCTCAGATTCCCATGGTTTCAAATCAACCTTGGGTGAAAAACATGGAACTTTCAGTTCCTTTTTTTTGGGGGAGGGTTCCCCGGCCGAAACTGTGTTGACCAGTGGTGCTCTTTTTTCCTTTCTTTTTGGGTAAGGGTTCCCTTGAAACTCCACCAACAAAAAAAGTGCCCTCGTTTTCCCATGGAAATCCACTGAGCCTCTGAGTTGAAACCAACACTTCTAGGGGTTGATTCCCCATTCTTTTCAGCCATCGTTCTCTTAAGCCGATCGGCATTTCCCCCGACTTTTTGCTGGCTTTCTAGAAAGCAGTGTCCCTGGGTTCAGAATGGAAATGGAAGTTGCCCCTAGAAAGATGGCACACCACCATTCCCCAAAAACCAGCTGTTTCCTCAGGGTTTAACGGCTGGTTTTCCAAACAAAATAAATTCGGATTCCTTCAATGGAGAAGTTATCCCTAGAAGCGACTCCTCCCACCGAGGTCCTGGCGCTGGCGGCCTCCGACGGCGCCTGGCGCTTCGCCCTGCGGGTCCTCTCGGCGATGCGCCGGGCGCGGGCGCAGGTCAACGAGGTGTGCCTCACGGCGGCGGCAGCGGCCTTCGAGGCCGGAAAGGAGTACCTCACCCGCCTTCCCACCTCCCCCCACTTGTTTTTTTGTTTTTGTTTTTTCTCCCGGGGGGGAGGGGGGCGAGATGGTGAGGTGCGTTTGTGAGTGTGGTGTTTTTGTTTGTTTTTGTTTTTTTGTTTTTTTCTTCAGTTTTTTTCCGAGAGGGGGGGGGGAATGGTGGGGTGCATGTGTTTTCGTCCTTTTTTTCTGAAAGGGGGGGGATGGTGGGGTGCCTTTGCGTGTGTGTTTTTTCTTCTGTTTTCTTCTTTCTTCTTTTCCGAAGGTGCCTTTGTGTGCGTGTGTGTGCGTGCGTGCGTGCGTGCGTGCGTGCGTGCGTGCGTGCGTGCGTGCGTGCGTGCGTGCGTGCGTGCGTGCGTGCGTGGGTGTGTGTGTGTGTGTTTTTGGTTTGGGGGAGGATGAGAGGGTGGAGGGGGCGCGTTTCCGTGTTCTTGTTTTCTTGGGCACCCTGCCTGGGGGACTGGGGTGTGAAGTTCCTCACGACGACCTGCTTGGCCTTTTTTTTTGGGTCAGGATTCCCGACTTGGACCCCCAAACGCCAAGAACCCGCCTAAACCCCCAAACGCCAAGCACCCGTTTTTCAAGGCACGTTGGGGTCACGGTTTAGCATTGGTTTTTGGAACTAGCATATTCTAAAAAGTAGCAGTTATTGGGGATCCGGTCTGAACAACACATATTTAATGATAGGGTAAATTAATTCAAAGGGGAATATAATATCTACTTGGTTGTTCTTTTGACCAGTACAAGTTGCCTTCTTCTTCTTCTTCTTCTTGTGCTGAACAAAAACTCAATAATCAGGCGTGCGAGTCACATTCAATCGCATTTCGCCAAACGCAACGGAAACAGGTTTGAACCATGTTCGAAGCATCATCTTCCGTACCCTCTCAACATGGAAGTGCGCAGGCAGGGGATTAAGCTCATATTCCGGAAGCCGCTGTACCAACAGGAGAGGTTGGGAAGACTCGCGTCCTTTCAAAAAGGGGCATTTGCAGAGCACGGAACGGGTTCTCTTCAAAGAAACAGTAGTCCACTGGCTTCAGACGCCAGTAAACACCAAAGGATAATCATTCCCCCACTTGCCTTTCAAGCATGGATGCTGCCAGACCGCCAGGATGCAGGAAGCATTTGCTTGCGAGGCCCCGCCATCCAAAACCATCTGGTTGGGGAGACACTGAAGCCCAACGAAGGATCCATCGGATTGGCGCCGGGCAGTGTTGGCCCTCGCGCCCCTGCCGGCCATGCGCGTGGCTGCGGAGTGGGTCAGCTGCCAGGCGAATTGGCTCTTTCCTTCGGCTTTTAGTTGGTGTTTTGTCGGTGTTTGGTTTGGTTTGGTGGGGGGTTCCGTTTAACCCACAAGTTATTTGAGCCAGGGCCTCTTTGCTTTGACATGTTCCCACAGAGACAGTCATGTGCCGCACCCACAACGGAAATGGTTGGTGCCGTGCACGGCTTTGACGCCGACTTGTTGAGGATATCACCACCCCCCTTAATCCTTGATTTCGGGGGGGGAAGGGGGTCAAAAATGTAAGTTACATTGTTGGGCTCAACTTCCCTGAGACAGCGCGTCAGCGCACGCGCCTGCGCGCGCCTCCCCAGCTGCCCTTGGAAGACAGGGTTTGCTTTGGCCTGCCAAAAAGCTGGGGACGGGAACGTCGCATTGTCAAGAAGAGCAGGACGGATGCATTCACAGCTTGAATTACATGGCAGTTGCCACAGCGAAAGCGACCCTTTTCGCGCCTCTGGCACGTGAGCGCAGTGCTTCAGCCAGGCCCTGTGCGGCCACTGGCGGCTGAGCCTCCAGCTGGCCGGCTCGCAGCTTGCCAGTAAACTGATCGTGACTGGCGGGAACCCATATTCCTCGGATTCCATGGCGCATGTCAACCCGTGTGGGTGCAGTAATGGACACTTCCAAACATAGGTGCGACTGTATGGATGTGGGTGTTCACCTTGGATCATGACTCAAATTTGGGAAAGCCATGCTGTGGATGTACAAAATCCTGCACCACTTTGACATCATGGAAAATCACTGTTCGTTGGCATTAACGTTGGAATCGACTCATTCCAGGGTTTCATGGATGTCGCAACCATCCAAAGCAGTTTTGCCTGGCTGCTTCTTGTGCACCCGTGTCTTTGAGTGGGGTGCTCGGCGTGGCGGCGATCTCCAAAGCGCGCGGATGGCAGCTCTCCTTGCAGTCGCTGGGCGGCTCGGCGGCGTGGAACGCGGCCAGGGGCCCCAGACCGTCAGGCTAGAAGCTCCACGTCTCATCCGAAGGTAGCTTTAGATTCTTTTGCCCACTGTAAGGGATGGCCATTGTAAGGGACTCGAAATCCTGCACCACCTAAGAAACCCTGACCAACGAGCGTTATGGTTTCCCATGGTTTCAAAGTGGTTCGAAATGGATTTCGTCCATCCACAGTATTCACATCCCCCAACTGAGCGGATCGGCCTTGCCCGGCCCACTGCGCTCCGAGTTTTGAGGCCATGTTTGCCACCAGCTGGCAGCTGGGCCTCGTGCTACTGGGCACCTTGGCATGTGGATTGAATCCGATAGGGACTGCTCCAAACCAGGTTTTTCATCACTGTTGGTGGCAAGTGTTTTTTTGGGGGGGGAGGGGGGAGGGCCTGCACAAAACACATTTTGTTGCAACCATGCCAAGGGTTGTTGCTTGTCACATCATTTTTGTCGGGGACAGAAGCGTTCACGTGTTGCGCTGGCATGGCACTTATCCAGCAGCAGCACACCCTCTCGGGTAGCTGCTTGTCTTTCACCTTGCTGCTGGCATGCTGCTGGCGTGCTGCCGGCATGCTGCTTGGTGTGGATGACTTTTTGACCATTCGCGAGAATGGGAACTGTATGCATCATGTTTCCACAGGCTTGGGTGTGTCACAGCAGGCAGAGTGGTTCTCATTCATTGTGACGCCTCAGGCAATGCCATTTGCCACAGCGTAGCGGACCAGATGCTAAGCGGCAAAGAGAGGCTGCTATGAAGTATTTAATTACATGGGGCAGTTCAGCGGAGGCATGTCTGTTCACCCTTTCAAGAAACGCATTGTCAGCTGGGACGCCTTGGTTTGTTTCAAAATTGCGATGACGAAACAAATTGTGTCGAATCTTTGGCGTCCATTGACACAACCCCCACACCCCCAACCCCACCCAAAAAATGAATAAACTCACAAATGAACAGATAAATTAAATAAAACCAAAATCAACAACACCAAACCTAGTGGGTGTCCATTGAAAACGCGCCTGGGTCCCATTGACAAAGCAACTCAGCCGCCAAGAAGTCGAAAACAAAACGGCGAGATTGACGCCTTTCTGGCTGACCTGTCATGGAAGGGGGCAGGCCTGAATAGCATTGTTCCATCATGGTCCGTTACAGTGCTAGCAGGCGCGTGTGAACAAAGGAGTGCTCGGAATGCCAAGGACAAGCTTCAACACTGCCGCCTCTGCTCTCAAAGAGTTGAACTGGCAAGGAAGCATGGCGTTGCTCCATCGAGCTGTCGTGTACCGGCTGCCTGCCTGGAATTGTGTCTTTGACATGGTTTTGCTTGTTCAGCCCACTATGGTACTTGATGTTGCCTAGTAGGCAAAACGTACATTGAATATCAGCGCAGTGGGCTCTTAAATAGCACATGTCCGCGACTTGCGGACATATGGGTATATGCTGAAATAGGGATTTGCACGCAAAAAACGTGTTCCCCCAAAGAAACAACCCCGAAGAGGCGGTACAAATCCATACCTTGACAGAGCCTCGCACCAGTCACTTGGTCACCCAGGCTGCAGTTGGAGGAGGTGGGCTGGAACATTGCGATGGATGCCGCCGGCGGCGGCGGCGGGTGGCAGAGGCCGCTGCAGCTGCTGAGATGCTCGCTGGAAATTCTGGGCCCAACCGATGGGCCCCTGGGTGGGTGTGGGTACGGTGAGTGGGTATGGTGAGTGGGTATGGTGAATGGGTATGGCGAATAGGTATGGTGAGTGGGTCTGGCGAATAGGTGTGGTGAGTGGAAATGGTGAGTGGGTATGGCGAATAGGTATGGTGAGTGGGAATAGTAAGTGGGTATGGCGAATAGGTATGGTGAGTGGGTATGGTGAGTGGGTATGGTGAATGGGTATGGCGAATAGGTATGGTGAGTGGGTATGGCGAATAGGTATGGTGAGTGGGTATGGTGAGTGGAAATGGTGAGTGGGTATGGCGAATAGGTATGGTGAGTGGGAATAGTGAGTGGGTATGGCGAATAGGTGAGTAGGTATGGTGAGTGGGTATGGTGAGTGGGTATGGCGAATAGGTCTGGTGAGTGGGTATGGTGAGTAGGTATGGTGAGTGGGTATGGTGAGTAGGTATGGTGAGTAGGTGAGTGGGTATGGTGAGTGGGTATGGTGAATGGGTATGGCGAATAGGTATGGTGAGTGGGTATGGCGAATAGGTATGGTGAGTGGGTATGGTGAGTGGAAATGGTGAGTGGGTATGGCGAATAGGTATGGTGAGTGGGAATAGTGAGTGGGTATGGCGAATAGGTGAGTAGGTATGGTGAGTGGGTATGGTGAGTGGCTATGGTGAGTAGGTATGGTGAGTAGGCGAGCGGGTATGGTGAGTGGGTATGGTGAATGGGTATGGCGAATAGGTATGGTGAGTGGGTTAGCGAATAGGTATGGTGAGTGGAAATGGTGAGTGGGTATGGCGAATAGGTATGGTACTGAGTGGGAATGGCGAATAGGTATGGTGAGTAGGTATGGTGAGTGGGTATGGTGAGTGGGTATGGCGAATAGGTCTGGTGAGTGGGTATGGTGAGTGGGTATGTTGAGTGGGTATGGTGAGTAGGTATGGTGAGTAGGTGTGGTGTGTGGGTATGGTAAGTAGGTATGGTGAGTGGGTATGGTGAGTGGGTATGGCGAATAGGTATGGTGAGTGGGTATGGTGAGTAGGTATGGTGAGTGGGTATGGTGAGGAGGTATGGTGAGTAGGTATGGTAAGTAGGTATGGTGAGTGGGTATGGTGAGTGGGTATGGTGAGTGGGTATGGTGAGTGGGTATGGGGAATAGGTATGGTGAATGGGTATGGTGAGTGACTACGGTGAGTAGGTGTGGTGAGTGGATATGGTAAGTAGGTATGGTGAGTGGGTATGGTGAGTGGGTATGGTGAGTGGGTATGGTGAGTGGGTATGGCGAATAGGTATGGTGAGTGGGTATGGTGAGTGACTACGGTGAATAGGTGTGGTGAGTAGGTATGCTGCCTTTCTGGCTATTTGGTGACGGATCTTTGGACTTTGTTGGTTGAAGGTCGGATTTTCCGAATTGGACCCACAAAAAGTGCTGATTAAAATGTGTTTGTGCTGTAGATGTGACGCTTCCACTTGGCTCTCAGCAGTGGGGGTATGTGTCGCGTGCTGCCATGCTAGCCGTCGAGTACTCCGCTTTTGGGGTCATATGCCCTCCAACGGTTTTGACTTTCACCCCTCCCCCAACGTTTCCAGCTTCTTGTGTTGTTTTTTGAATCACACTTGCGTCTTTTAATTTTGGTCTCAAATGATACTGGCACGGTGTACTTGCTACAGAGCAATCAGTTTGGATGTAAGCACATCGATCCTGCACCCAGTTTCCTGGCTTTGGGTTCTTTTGGGTTTCCGGCGGGTCCCCTATTCGGCATTTTGGGTGTTCGTCCGCTGGGGTTGAGGCACAATGGCCTGCAGGGCGCTGCGCCCGTCAGAGGCATCTCTGGGCTGCTGCCTTGGCGGCCTCTGGCAGATCAGCGGCCAGCTCCTGCGAAGCGGAGGCGGGCTGCTGTCCGCCCGGCTGGGGGGAACCAAAGTGGGGACGGTGACTAAGCATTCTGACAAGACTTTCTAAGCAAAAGGCGCGAGAAAGCAAGGCCCTTTTTTCATCGGCTTTGCATTGCATTGCTGGGCACGAGCACGTTCCAATGACTGGTGGAATGTTCCCAGTTGACCCGTTCCAATGACTAGTGGAATGTTCCCAGTTTGACCCAAGATGGTGTTTGATACAGATCCAGCAGTTTGTCCGGTGAGACCTTTTGAGTATTGTATTGCAGGTTACGTAACGCGTGCCCCGACACTCTCGACACATGGGCATTCTTGCCAAGGGATTTGCCCCGACCTGGTGGATCAAGTTGCCAGACAATCGTACAGGGCAAGTAGATGGCCCGTGATGGCAGCTGAATGAAATGGGGTTTGACATGTGTAGGATGCATGGGTTGGTTGAGGAGAGAAGCGGTACGAGGGGTTAACCTGCATACCTTTCGCATTTGCAGACCCCGTACGAGTGTGGTTCTGTTGGGAGCTTAGGGTCGAAAAACAAAGGGGCAAAAACAAGAACAGAAGCCGAAGCCTGCAAAATCGCTGCCTAATATTTGACTTTTGCGAAATGAGGCTGTGTCACCGTAGCCTGGATTGTACAAATCGTTTGGCTGCTTCCCTGGTTGTGTGCGGAAGCACCACTAAGGTGAGATCATGTAAGGGTGTCATATTGGTATCATCAGGGTGTCAAGCGCGGTCAAACGAATCAGCACTCACCTATCTGGGCAGAGACACCCATCGCTAGGCTGCCAGAAAAGCCGCCTGTTTTTTTTTGGTTGGTAAAGAAACGACTCCCCCGCCCCTCCCACCCCCCTCCCCCAATAAAAATAAGCCCAGGTGATATCCCCAACAGCATGCGGTGCTTCTTAGTGCTCGCACCACCCCGCTCGCTGCCCTCGCAGAACCTCGTGGAACCCTCGTGGAACCCTGATGGAACCCTGGTCGAACCTTACCTCAGGGCCGGACCACCCCGGAGCCTACCTGGGCTGAGACCCCAAAGCTTCCAGCTGGGGGAGAAAACAAATCCGTTTGTTGGCAAGTAAACTAAATGACTCCCCCCGCCCCTCCCCCCCTACACCCCTCCCCCCCAATACCAACTCCGCATGGTTGTTGTTGGGAAACATTTTGCATTTTTGCTTATTGTGGTTTAGTGGTTGAAATCTTCACTTATCTGCTAAGCTTAATTTTTTGCTCCCCAAACCCAACGTCAAGCAAGTCCAAGCGGGCCTTCACTCAGGGGACCTGCTGAGTTGGAACTTGGCGCTGGGCCAATCCCCGTGGCTTCGGGCCCTGGACCAGCTGGGTGCCATGAGCACTCAGCGCCTGCAGGCGCCAGAGCCGCCCTAAGGGCCTAAGCCTCGTCTCTTCCTTTGGGAACGTCTTTTCTTGGTGCATTTTGCCAAGGGATGATAGGACTGAATCACTTTTTGCCAACTGATGGGTTTTCCGTATTGAACAACTAAAAGTTATTCGCTTTTAGCAGGGGGGCAGAAAGCAGCCGAGTTTTTTTGGGTTGGTCTAACGGGAAACCGCACGGAAAGCTTTTTTTTTTGGGGGGGGGGGAGATCCCCGAATGGCGCAACGGTTTTCCCACCCCTCGAAAAAAGAAAGGATAGCCCATGCATTCGATGCTATTCTTTTTGTCTGGTGAGACCGATTTGGGCTGTGCTTCTTTTTTGCACCACTCTTTTTACCAAGTAAGTAGCTGATCCTCACCGGCCAATTGCTTGGATTGGCATTTCTCCCTCTTGCAACAGCTGACCCTTCGCTGGTTTCTCCAGATCGCTCTTTCTTTGGCTTCCGGAGGGTGGCAGTGCTCTTGAGCTGAACACAATCCTTTCCGAGGCCGATGATGTGAGCGTCGCGGCAGCATCATCTAGATGAAGAGGTCTCCATAGTTGCTGCTGGATGCTTGCCTGTCCTCCATGCCTCCGCCAGCTGAACATTTCAGACACTGCTAACTGACCATGAGTGACATGGCTGTTGAGAAGCTAAAACGCCTGGATGTGGCCCGACGTCACTTAAAAAGCGCGAAATGGTTTTTCAGAGAGGGACGGATGTTCCGAACGTCGCAATGAAAAATCTGAGGCTTCATCACAGCAATTGCGGCATGCAGTGCGAAGGGCCGCTGGGAAACCGCTCTGATGCTGAGCAAGATGACGGTGAGGACCAGTGGCGGCTGTCCAAAATTACCCCTAAACCCCTAACCCCTAAACCCTTAAACCCCTAACCCCTAAACCCCTAACCCCTAGACCCCTAAACCCTAAAATTGTACACAACTGCGCATGGCACGGCAGTTTCTGCGGCCTTGCCAGGCTTTCTTCCTCGCCTGTGGCCCAAACGGCCGTGATGGGGGCATGTGCTGAGGCACCAGACGGCTTGCGTGACTTTAAACGCCAGGAAAAACAGCTCACACAGACCACACCTACCATACCTAAAACACCTACCATACCTACCATTCCTACCATACCTGCCACACCTACCATACTCACCATACCTAGCACAGGGAAGCCTCCCTGTACACAATGCATACTACACGTCCCTGGCCGGACTTTGACAATTTGACCTGCGCATTTGTTTGGATGTATAACAGGGTGGGACTCAGAAGGCCTCCGTGTCACCAAATCAGCGACGCATTGAGAAATCCCCTCAAACATGGAATGCTTCCCAACGGATCGACACTTAGTGCCTAGGGGCAGCGTGCTTGTGGCATGGCGTCTGTTTTTTTTTTTGATTGGGCCTCTGCAGCGGGAGTCATTGATAACACATCCCCTAATAACAGCCTAGGTTTACGAGCGTAAGTGTGGGCGTGGGGCAGAAAATCCCCGGCATCACGAATTCTCAGTGACCTTTGTTGGGGCACTGGAGGGTTCCTGAAGCCAAACATTTATAAATGAAACATGGAATCTCTCTAGACAAACACTTTTGAGGTGATGTTCAACATCTCTCCTGGAATTCACCCGCAAACCTCAAAATTCACCACCCACTGGCCTCATTGTTTATGATCAAAGTCACCCCCGTTCGGTGGTTAAGGGAAACAACCGATTTCATTTTCTGACTTTGACCCCCAGAAACCGTCAAAATAATGACCCCAGAGGCCCAGCCGAGTTTTCGGACTGACTTGGCTCGAAAAATGCCAGGCCGGCCGCTGGCAGCTGGCGCTTGAACTCCTGCGGAGCATGGAGCGGAAGAAGCTGACAGATGCAATCAGTGCCCTGACTCAGTCCGCTCTTTTGGCCTTTGGTGTCTCAAAATGATTTGTTTGCCAGACCAATATGAGGTAAACAGTTCTTACAAAGGGCGTTTTGAGAAAGTTTTTGCTCAAGCTCATACCAAGAGCGTTGCCAGTTTTCAGGTCCCTTCGACGATGTTTCTAGGGGTACCTTCCCCATTCTTTGAAGGGATCCTTCTTTTCAGGAAACTATCAAAAACACACGGTTTTTGAAAAGAACGATGGTTGAAAATAATGGGGAATCAACCCCTAGAATGTTGTGTTTCAGACTTAGCAGCTGGAAGGAGTCCGTGTTTCGTTTGTTTCGGTGCTCGCCCGGTGCTCACCCGGTGCCTCTCTTCAGTCCGCTCTTGGTGAGACGGACAAAAATCAACGCACGTGTGTTAACGAGGTGGTGGTACAAGAGGCGTCCAGGCTCCGGCGGGCTGGGTTCAGACACTGGATGGTTGTTTGCTCGGCGTTGTCAAGGGGTTTCAGTTTGATGTGAACCAAACTGGCAAATGTTCAATTGCTCTTCATGTCGCAGGGCGTCGCTTTGCACGTTGGGTTGGCTCGACGTCATTTCTTGTGAAGGCTACAGCGTGGCTGTAGACGCCTGCGCCAAAGCGGAGAGACTGCGCAGCCTGCAAAAGGGGCGGGTTCGCGAGTTGCACTTGGGAGATTGCGTGGGGCACGGGAAAAGCAGTTGCAGTGAAGTGCTCGCAGGACCTTTGGCCCTCAAGCGCTAAAACTTGCTTTGCAACGCACATGCTGGATAGTTCTGCGACGTCGCCCCGTAGAAGAGCATCGCCCTGCTAGGCAATGAGTTGTAAGAAGAAGGCAGCTACAGGCTGGCACCGCCAGTATTGGGAACCAAACACCTTGAGATCCTTGAGCTGCATGTTGACCTTCAAATAGACCCCAAAAGAGTGTGAGAAGGGTTAAGCTTGTTGGTGCTCAGTCCCAGGGTTTGGGCACGAATCGTTTGGGATTCCCTTAGGAAACCACAAGGGATGGTGTCTGGGGCGCATTTCCTCCAACGAAACCCCCTATCCTCGTCCATGCGCCTCCTCTGGCCCACAAGTGGCCGTGCCGTGCGCCGAGCGTTCTCAACGACCTCTCCCTGGCAGCTCTTGAGAAAATGGCAGGACCAGAAGCAACTTGAGCTGGGGACCCGTCCATTCTTTTGAACCATCGTTCTTCTCAAAATCCAGCTGTTTCCCCCGGGTTTTTGGTGGTTTTTAGAAAGAAGAATCCCTGGAAAGAATGGGGTTTCCCCTAGAATCCGTGGTCTAGAACAAGTAGCAGGCAAGATCTGTGCTGATTTCGGGCAGACTTGGTGGGCGGTGGGCGCACAGGCAAGGAAAGGGAGAGCGCGGCCAAGGTGCCGCCGATTCAGGCGGCTCAAGAGGTGTTTGTGTCATAAGCTATGCCGATCCCATTTTGAAGCGGATGAACATATCATCTATTTTGATGTTCACCAGGGGTACGGGGTTTTGACCCACAACCATGTGTTTGTATGGTTTTTGTGCTCTGCCCCTTTGCCAGGAGGAGGGTGGTGAGGCGGCGGACCATGTGGGTGCCTTGTACAACCTGGGCCGCCTCACGCGCGGGCGAGGAATCAGCGAGAGCAAGGCACCTGGCAAGTTGTTTTTTTGGGTGCGCGAAGGCTCGATGGCCTCAACTCGAGCCCCCAGTTTTTGTCCCAGTGAAGCCATGGATTCTCTGCCCAAAGCTCGATGGCTTCCGGAGATTCGGCTCCAGCTGGGGATACCCGGCTTAAAATGGCTTGACCTGGGCATGGAAAAGGTCCAGAGGTCCAGTGCATGGGACATGGGCAGACGGGGCACGGGACGGACGCGTTTCTCAGGCGGATTGGGAGCGCCATGACGCCATGCAGCTGGGCCTGCAGGCTGGAATCGAAGAATCAATCGCTCGGAAGACGGGGCCTTACTTTGTTGGGGAAGGGTTCACCATGTTCACCCCTTTAAACTCAAGCCCGAAAAGGATGCCCGAAAAGTTTTCCTAGTGGGCGTCTGAGTGCAATTTACTTCTACTTTCAGGCTTGGCAGCTCCAAGCCTTGGGAAGCTGAGTTTCCTTGTCACGCTCTTTCGGTGGTCGGCGCCTTTGGCCGACACCGGCCAACACCAGGCTTAAAGCGGGTGTGCGTCCAATGTTGACTTTGAACTGGGCAATATTGGCCCCATAGAAACGAACCGGGTGTTTTTTTTCTGGTTTTAGTGGGGATGTATCACTTTTGGAGGGGACGTCGGACCACCCCCATATGAAGAAACGGGGGTGTTATGGATCCGGGGTCAACGATACAAGCACCAAGGCTTCAACTTCCCTCATGGAGTTCGGTGGTTTGTTGGAGGAGGGGTCCCTTCCCTTGTTATCCGAGCCACGCGGCGGTTTTTCCGAGCCGCGCCAGGACGAGGCCGCCTTCGCACAGCTGCTGGAGGCGATCCAGCGCTGCATCCCTGGCCTGGACTTGAAGGGACTGTCCCGCGCCTCGCACCGGATGTCGGAAGACATCCGCGGGGTCGGAGTGGGAGCTCGTGTTGCTCGGTGTTTTTTTTTTTTTGGGGGGGGCGCACTTGACCAACCAAATAGACCGAACTGAGAACTGAGAAAACTCATCAAACCAGACAAGGCATCTCTAATTCCATTTGTTCCATCAAGGGTACGCCCAAGCAGTCAAAGAAAAACACTGTCCACCCGGATTACACCAAAGCAGTCAAAGCAGAACACGGTCACGGAGGGGGTCCCTATATTTCCCTTTTTGGTGGCTTTAAACATCGCCTTTTTGGCCATGAAATGTGAGTGTCCCTTGGTGGGGGTGATGTTTTGAGTGGAAATATAGGGAGTGCTGTGGAGGTGCAGCTATTTTCACGTCGAGAAAAACCGAGCGAGCCGAGCGACCGAGCGTTGCGAGCGCCCTGAGCGCTGTGAGGGGTGCTGATGGGCCTGGGCGACACCCACGAAGACCTGCCCTTTGGCCATGCCAAGACGCCCAGCGCCCACCTCCGCCGCGTCTTCGGCCTGGTGGACGCGCCTCTGCGGAGAAAGAAGGTGACGGCAAACGGTTGCAGGGGGGTGGGGGGGGGGGGCAGGGGGGGCGGGGGGGGGGGGGGGGTAAATGGACCGGTCCGTTCTCCGGTGGCTTTCGGCGAGTGCTCTACCTCTTGATTTTTGGTTAAGGCATTCGCCTATGGTTTAGGCCACCGAACCAGCAATTGGAAGGAAGCTGACTGCTCATGAGGAGGTGAGCTGTTTTTTTTTTTTTTTTTTTTTTTTTTGGTGTCCGGGTCGTCAAACAAGCGAACCTCAAGTGTTTGGCACTGGAGGGGGGCGGAGGGGGTAAGGTTTGCTTCCTTTCGCGATCACTCGGAGCTCCCTGGAATCCCGAAGACATGGCATTCCAAGCAGAGCCCAGCTTGATCTTGTTCTTTACCAGTTGGGCAGCTTAGACATGTCAGGCAATGTTGACCCCATATGAACATAAACTCCAGGTTATTCATAGGGGGGTGGGTTGAACCCCTCCTAAAGTGGTCTGATTCCCCACCCACATTTCACCCACAAAGAAGCACCCCCTACTACTAAACTGGTTGGTTGATATGTTGATTCATAATATAGGGTCAACATGAAGTCTTCCCTTTGAATTGGTTTGGGGAGAACTCGCAGTTTTCCATTTCACCCAGCAAGAAGCACCCCTACTAAACTGGTTGGAGCACCCCTACTAAACTGGTTGGTTGATTCATAGGGTCAACATATGGGTAAGGCTCAAAAATACTAGAGCTGGGGCTACGCGGGTTAAAGTCTTTGGTTCCATTTGCCAAGGTGCCATTTTGGAATTCCGGCTTTTTCAGCCACAGCCATATTTCCAATCCGTTTGGTTTGATGACTCGCAGTTTTCTGTTTGGCCAGGCAGGGGAGGTTTGCGAGTCATGTCGCAAGTTGCTTGGGGTTCAGGCGGCCTGTGATGGGCTGCTGGCGAAGTGGGAGGAGGCCACGGACGACCGGGACCTGGGCTTCCCCCTCTTCGCCCTGTCCAGGCTGGGGATTTACAAGCAGGAGGCGGGGGGGTTTTGGGAGAAAAACAAAAAAAAACGCCGGGAGAGGGACGAATGGGTGTTACACACAATCGCAGGGGGTTGCGGCGGGCCGCGTTTTTTTTCTTCTTCTTGTTTTCTTTCTTTTTTGTGATGGTTGGGAATTATCATATGTTCAGGTGAATTAGGGTTGTTGGGGGTTCGGTGCCAGAAGTTATTGAATGCGAGCTGGTTTGGAATGTTTGGGCTGGGCGTGAGGTTGTCCACTCCGTTAAAACCCCAGTGGCAAACCCTGGCTGCAAGCTGTCCGCGGTATTTTTATTCCGAGCGCGAAGTGGGGCGCAGGGTACCCACGGAACCCCCAATAGGTAGGGGAATGCTATGGTGCAGCCGAACTTTTCGCAGAGGCTTCTGTGGGGCCCACCAACTCAACTGTTTGAAGTGGTGTTTTCAATGGCTGGTCGTTTTTTTTTCCTTTTTTCTTCTTGTTTTTTGTTTTTTTCTTTTGTCGTTTCTTGTTTTTTTGGTTGCGGTGGGCGAGGCACTAAACAGGAACCAAAGACTGCCCAGCATGAGAGTAATAGGTGCCAGGTCTGACCATAGGCCACTGTGCCACCTGCCACACAGGTCTTTGACACAGCGTCGGGACTGCTGGCTGCCAAGCTTGGGTCGGACCAGCCTCTGCCCAAGGACCAAAACAGTCTTGATAGGTTTTCGGGCTTACTTCTCGGACTATAGACAGCTCTCCTTTCTGCATCTCCTTTTGAAGTCCCACCGCGTCGCAACTGTCAGATCTAGTGGGAATCTATTATTGGAGCATCGAAAGAGACGGTGCGCGAGGCGAATGATCGGGTGCTCGAATGGTTGTTGTGAATCTGACCACTTGGGCATGTCCTTCTCAAATGCGCGGCTTTCCTTTCTGATTTCCCCTGAAACCAATTCATTTTTGAGGCACCACATTCCTTTGACAGTGGCATCAGTGGCCTTGCGCCAAGCTTTCCAGGAAGCCTTGCGCCAGTGGCTGCTGGCCTGCAACAGTGTGAGTCACTCCTTAGTGGAGCATCAAGGGGCCATTGCGGCATACCGGCCTGCGGAGGCTTGGGCAAAGGAGGACGACGGCGGGGTCCGTCGGTGAGCGACTGGTTTTGCTTGTGGTTTCTCCTGTGGCCTTTGAACAAGCAAGCCTATCAGGGAATGTCAGAGGCAGCAGGTTTTCATGGAGGGACTGCGCGCAAGCTGCTTCAATCAACGGCCTTGGGCCATGCGCTGCCACTCGCAGGAGCCCAGCCGGCTACACCAGCTGGCAGGGGCGCTGGTGTCCCTGCCTCACCCTGACCCTTTGCTGGCAGAGGTGGTGCGAGAGGTGGTCCGAAGGCCGGTGAAGGAGTTGCACGCCAGCAAGGCGGTTGCCTTATATGGCTTGCAGGCAGCTGGGGGGGGAAGAAGGGGGGCATGGCGCTCACTGGCAGGGAGGAAAAAACAATCGCTTGTGTGCCACGGTTGCCACTCTTGCTGGTTGAGCCAACAATCCACTTACGATGCGGCGCCCTGGGTAGAAACATCTAGCTCTGCACATATCTTGATCTTCCTGGTTCCGCTTGTGGGGCGCCTGAATCAGGATCCATTGGGTTAGACGTGCGCGCTCAATGGGGCACATTGTAGGAGGGAGTGTTGGATTCGTTGCTTGACTTAGTTGGTTGTGGGCACTCCACAAGCAGTGTCTCGTGGCGCAAACGGGCATGAAGTGCCATTGAGGTGCGCAAGGCAAGAACAGTACCCTCCCTCCAACAATCATAGAAGCTGACAGGACGGTTTTGGAAGATTACTTTCCTGTTTGGGGAACCCCGTTGTCCACTCACTTCCATGATTGTTGGAAAGAGGGTATAATTACTCTCTGTTGCCCAGTGGTGCCCTTTTTTCCTTTATTCTTGGTAAGGGTTCCCCTTTAAACTCAACCAACAAACAAAGGGTGCCCTTTTTTCCCCATGGCCACTGCGCATCTGAGTACTTGATCGTTGCGTTGTTTTGAAAGAAAACTCACTTTCAAGCCCTCGGGATGAAATGCTTGGCTAGCCACATGTCAGCCTCAAAAAGTGCATGGCTAGCCACTAGGAAGGAGTTCATTCCAAGTGGCCAGGAGCAAAACGCCTATGTCTCAAAATGGAGGGACCCAGGAGCCCCAAAACGGGTGTGTCTTTGTTGGAGGGTACCCCCGGTTTTGTATGTTTAAAAGGGAAAGCACGGGGAACAAAAACACACATTTATTTTGGGGGTGGGAGGTCCCCTAAAAGAAAGCCACGCCCAAAGTTGCCGGCGTCCCTTTTTTTATTAAAGAAAACCACCCTTTTGCTCCGGGCCTCCCTTCAACCCACATCTCCCCCCCCCGCAGCCCCCCGCAGCCCGCGCAGGCGGTGCGGCTCCTGGGGGAGGCCGGGCAGCTGGGCGCCGCGCGGCTGCCGCCGGCGGTGGCCCGGGAGCTGGACCGCGCCTTGGAGCGGAAGAGCCGCGCCATGCGCCGCAGCTCGCGCCTGGAGCGGGGGCCTTGGGGATGGAGCAATGGATCGGGGGAGGAGGGGAGGAGGAGGGGAGGAGGGGGGGAGGAGGGGAGGGGAGGAGGGGAGGGGGGCCAAGGGCAGAAGGATGATGGCGGCAAAGATGTGGCAAATGAGGAGTTTGGTTGCTTTTTGTTGACCAATCCACTCAGGAAGTGAGTGATAGATTGGGTTGATGCGTTGCGGGGTAATGACCTTGTTCAGCTTGGCTCAAAGGGAAAGCAAAGGGGGAAGGTTGGGGGATTTCGTTTGGCTCCGCCAAGTCGCCCAGAAGTAACTCCAGGTTCAGAAGCAAACACTTCGTCAGAGCAGTCCGCCGAAGTTGCATGCCTACATGTCGCATCCTGGACACGCGCGCTTGAGCCTAAGATTTCTTATTACACCCTGGGATTGCACCCTAGGGAAGTTGAGAAATTACACCAAATAGTCCCAAATACACCTTAAAATAGCCAGGTTGTATCTGGACATTGGCCAAAAAACGGTGATTCTCCGGGTCTCTGGGTGCTCCTTGCGCCGCCGCGAAGCTCAGGGCCGCGGTGGGCCAGGCTCTGGCGGAGGGCGGCTTCCAGCCGCGGCCCGGCGTGGTGGTCAGGCCAGGCCTCTCGGCCGACTTCGCGTGCACGCGCCGGAGCGCGAGCGGCGGGCGCGGCGGGCGCGGCGAGGGCGGGGACTTCTTTGTGGAGGCGGGCCTGGCGGGGGGGCTCCTGTGTGTTTCTATTTGCTTGGCTCCCAGCGATCCCCTGGGCGTTTTAGGACTCAAAGTCAAGCTTTGAGCAGGGGATCTGAGGGCAGCCCAGTCAAATGGCATGGATTTACCCGGCTTTGGGCAACCACCTGGACACCTTCAAAGGGAAACCCCACCCAAACCCATCCCAACCAACCACGTGACACTCCACTCAGGAGGTGAGTCTTGCATGCGGTGTTCTCAACTGGCATGGGCTTTATACCGACTTGGGGCAACCGCCTAGACACTTTCAAAGACAACCCAACCCAAGCAACCACCCACCCACCCACCCACCCACCCACCCACCCACCCACCCTCCCTCCCTCCCTCCCTCCCTCCCTCCCCTCCCTCCTCCCTCCCTCCCTCCCTCCCTCCCTCCCTCCCTCCCTCCCTCACAGCATCCACGCTGAGAGAGGTGGATGGCCCGTCCCACTTTTGCGTGCAGCCCTTTTGGCGCCTCCGGGGCCGCACGGTGCTGAAGCAGCGGCTCTTCGCCGCCCAGGGCCAAGCGCTGATCTCGGTGCCCTACTGGGTGGCAGCACCCCCAGGCGGAGAGAGAGAGAGAGAGAGAGAGAGAGAGAGAGAGAGAGAGAGAGAGAGAGAGGGGGATGGCTGGTGGCCTGTCTCGTTTTTTTTTTTTTTTAATAGTTGGATCGTGCCCCCGAAGAAGGTGTTCGGTGTTGCGATTGCCCCCCCCGAAATAGGTTTTCGGTGTTGCTTGTGGTTGTCCTTTCAAAACCAGAAAGAAGGCGTACCCGGAACAACAGACATGTGGGCGGACCCGGTCGATCCTGTGGGGAAGATGCTGAAGGGGGGGAATAAATTTCAGGTTCGTATCAAAAAGGGCTTGATGACAAGAATGAGGGGGTTGATCATGAAGGAGAGTCCCTTGGGTTATCACTTTTATTCAGTTGATCTCTATAGGACTTGCTTGTGCGACGCAGGGATGAAGGGACTTCTGTGGGGTTGCCTGCACTGTTGGGATGCACCTTCCCTTCACTCACATGCTGAAGGTTGTTGTTTGCGCCAGTGCGCGGCCTTAGGCCTGGTGTAGCGTAATATTGGGTCCCTGCAACTATTGCATGGCTCATAGGCGAAACCCATTCAGCCGATTGGTCCCTCCAGTTTTGGTCCAAGATCCGGGGCCTTCGATCAATCAATCCCATGACCAATCCTCCATTGGTTTTTGGGTTGGTGTCGTGTGGACGTTTCCGGCTGTGGCTCTTTTGGCCGCGGCTTTTTTCAGGCGCCTACGCGCGCCGGGACGAGTGCGCCACGAAGCCACGCCTGGAGGTGAACCAACAGGAGCTGGAGGGGCTCATTGCCGAGCAGCTGGAGCAGTTCCATCGATCTCGCGAAGCGGGCGGAAAAAGGACGTCGAAGCCGTTTATTTTTGTTTTTTGTGTGTGGTTGTTTCCCCCCCTTTTTATTTTCTTGCGCTGGGATCGCACAGGGCGCTTGAGGTGTGAAAGTGAAGGACAGGCACAGGAGAGATCTCGCAGACAGCGAGACGGGGGTTGAGATGGGGGTTGGTCGATATTCTTGGCGCCGAAATGGCCATGGGTTGGCACACACACACACACACACATATATATATATATATATATTCAGAGGTAGTTCATGGGGGGTGTGTGACCATATATATATATATATATATTTTAGTAGTTTTCTCCCATGCTCATCCCATGTAGGACCTTTTCATCAACCCCCACACACAAAAGAGGCAGCCCTGAGGCGGCTGCCTTGGAGCTGTTCTCCCGGAAGTCTTGCCCAGCAGGGCCCGCTGCTGCGGCATGGGCCTCAGCGGAGTCTGAAGTCAGTTTGGCAGTTTGGTGAATTATAGCGACCTCACGCGACCGAATTCACCCCAAATGGTGGTTTATGGTGGGGAATAGCCCAACCACCTTATTTCAGGCTGGTGAAATATTATCCCAGATCTGTGGAAAGCCAGCGGCTTCCAACGGAGTTGTTTGTCAGGCACTGTGTTCACTGAACGCACAGTGCCTGACAAGCAACTCCTTCGGAAGCCGCTGGCTTTCCACACACGCCCCTGCGCTTACGCCTTCACTCTCACCTTCACACCCGTTTATGGCAAGCGCGGTGACTCCCGCCGTTGGTCCAGGCGTTCATTTTTGCACTCAAGCACTCAAGCACTCATGTCCTAAGTGGAACGCTCTGGACAAACATATGTGTGTTTCATTGGGCCCGCAAACAGCTCTTCTTTTTTTGGCAAGCCTCACTGAGGGCTCCCACCTGAAGTTTCAGCCATCCAAGCGGCATGCACCCAGAGTCATTCCGGGTTTACATAGCTGTCAGGGTCAATCGGTTGAGTGGACCAGAAGAGTGCATTCTTCAGAGATTTGCTTAGGAGAAAAAATAGCGAGTTCACCTGGGGCTACAACGAGCTCACCTGGGGCTACAACGAGCTCACCATGACAGGTCCATTAGTTGTCTTCATTCAGCTTTTCGAGTTAAGATGTGGGGTACACCATGACAAAGCTCCTTTAGTTGGGGGTCCAAGTCTTAATTCATCTAATTTCAGCTTCTGGCGTTACATTTAAACATCGCAGATGCAGATGTGGGATGTACCATGATGTACCCATGTCATCGTATCGTGAGGCTGCCATCGGTGCATGCGGCAAAGGAGGTGCCTGGCAGCCCAAGCCCCAGCTCAAGCTGCTGGGCGCCCACTGGACTCAAGATCTGCTGGCTGGTGGTAGGGGAGTTGGACTCGGAGCTGGGGGTATCCGGACTCGGAGCTGTTGAAGAGAGAGGTAAGGAGCTACAGGACATGTTAGGCTAGTATGTGCAACCTTCGCATGACCTGCTCGTGGATACTGACCAGTGGGTGTATTGCTGTGGCAGATGCAGATGCTCCCGTGTGAGGTTGTACAGAAACCTTGCTGTTTTTAGAGTGTCTTTCTTTTTTTGGTATCTTTCTTTTACTCCTTATCGTTTTGCAGTGTGTTGTGTGTTCTGTACTCTCCACCTCGAAATCGCGACCCTGCAGCAGAAGTGCACTTCACAAAGTCCGCTGGGCACTCACAAAACGTGTGGACGTGAGGAAAGGCGCGCAAAAGGCAATTTCTTTGCAACACGTTATCGTTTTGTTGTCGGTTGTGTTCAGCTACCAAGTCTGGCCTTTTCGCTACCCAACAAGCAACACAGGGCAGTTTTGCACACACCAGACCTCCGAAGACTAAACTTAACCAACGGTTTTAAATACAACCTCGCGGTGTTTCTCAAAATGGCGACCCCCTAGAACGGATGGTATCCTTTACGTTTCCCTTTAATACCAGCCAAGAGGTTGTCCACCTTTTGAGAATCATTCACATGTGACCGAGACTGTCTCGGGAACATGTCACAAATTTGTTTCCCGTGCTCCCAAAGGCTCTACCTGAAGGCTACCTCTGAAAGGCCCCTGCCCCATGTGCGAGGCATGCCATGCATTGCTTGGAGACGATGGAGGCGCTGGGTTCGTTGGTTTGCTGCAGGCCTTGTGGCGAGACGTTCAAACCAACTAGTTTACCTGGAATCAGAGTTGTTGTTTTTGGTGACACAGCCTTTTGGAGCCCTTGCGGTTGCCCTGCAAGTTGCAAGAGCGACTTCACAGCGGAGGGCGAATGATAACGTCACTGCCCACAGCGACGCCCAAGTGCGCTCAAACAAGCCGTGCTACCTTGTACCCAGCAACTCATGAACCCCTGGTGCCGGCGGATAAATGAGAGCCAACCCTAACCACACTACCAATCCCAAACCAAGGAGGAGTAGTTTCGAAAAAAAAAAAAAGAAAAAAGAAAAAAAAAACAGCAGGGCAGCGAGCGCTTTGGCCGCCAGGCCGCCAAAGCTGACCTGAACGCGACGAGTGGCTTGGTGAGAGTCAATATCAAGTCGCCCTAGGGTCCAAGGGCTGGAGGTGCGCGCGATTTGTTCGGCCCACGGGCAGCGTTTTGGCAACTAGGCTTCATACTTCCTCTTATTAGGTTAATTCTGACATGCATTTCGTAAGCAGCTAGCCTTGCTGGCGCTAGAGGGGGGAAGTCTTGGAAGCACGACTCCAGCAAGCGTCGTGCCTTTCTCTAATAACATTTCTTGGATTCGGTTGAAGTCACTAAGTGTCGACTGCTCTGAGCCGTTCTCCTGCCTGGCTGGGGCACATGTGACTGTTCGATCGTCCTTCCGAGAGCCTGGGGTAAGCTGCAGCCATGGGCCCTAGGGCTGTAGCTTCCCTTGGGCTGGGCAAAACACACATGCTTTTCCGTGCCGAGCCCTTCTTTCTGGCTCATTCGGGCATGGAACAAGATTCGGCATGAGTTCTACAAACCATCCCAGGGTACGCAAGTTATCACCCAGGAGCCTTGGGGGGCCACATGGCCATGGTTCAAAACCTAGGGGATCCCATTTTGGGGTAGGTGCACCCAATTTAGTCTATTTTAGTGGTTGGATTGGGATGTTCACTGGGGGCTAACCGGGATTTTGAACCATGGCTACATGGCTTCGCTGTTGCAACCATGGCCCACCTGACCATTGCCTCCTTGGTGTCATCCCAAAGCCCCCCCGTCCCCCCCCCCCCCCCCCCCCGAGGCTACGGCATGGCCGTGAGCGCCTGCGCCCGGAATGCCCAGGCACGTCGGCTTCGCGGCTTCGTCGTTTTCAGGCCCCAAAGGTGGGGGAGCATAGAGCGGGGGGTCTGCTTTTGTAGGCCCCCCCCCCCAAAAAAAAAGAGATGCGGTTTTCTCTTTTTGGACTTGTTTCCTTAAAAACTGCAAGCCAAAGGGAAGAAAAGACAAACTCATGTATAAGTCCCTTTTTCTTCTTCGAAGAACAGCTCCGGCTTTCCCGTTCGGAGTGGTCAAAAGGAGAATCCCCCTGGAGTTTCTTGCCTTTTTGGTTTCCGAATATCCGGGGTTGGTTTGCTCTGGTGGGGTCCCTTCGCGCAAAAGAAGGTGGTTGACACCTCCCAAGTTGTTTTGCCTGGGAGGCTTGAGAACATGGCTTGGGTCAGAGCCGCTGTGGTCGAAAGCGGGAAATCTGCTGTTTCAATGCCTGTTTTGGGAGTTCCGCCTAAAGCTCCAGCGGACTGCTGCCGACCTATCAGTAGCACAAGGTGATGGAGGGGATAGATGCGGGCAAAATAGATTATGTGCCATGTCTATTCCCTGGTGTTCGAATATGTTCGAATCAGGCTGCCTTTGCTCTGTAAATGGGGAAAAGTAGTGGATCCAAAGGCCTTTTTTGTCACAGGTCGCAGGCTCTGCTGAAGGCTAGACATGCGCTTCAGGGTTTGGTGTGGCTACGGTTTTGGTCGGGCGGTTGCAGGGCTAGTGAAAGCGAAAATGACTTGCAATAGGCTTCGCCAGTTTCCAAGATTTGGTCAGTCGCAGGCTGATGCAGCGTCAAGAGCTGAGCATGTCGTTGCTTCTCAGGTTGGCTGCCAGCGTTGGCCGTGTGGGAAGGTGTCGAAACCAAGAACCTGCCTTTCAGTTTCCTTGTCAATTGGCCAGATTAAGCAGGGCCTGCGCGAAACAAACGCGGTAGTCTGTTTAGGCTCAATTGCTAGGTCCCCAGTGGTGCCCTTTTACCTTTTGTTGGGGGAGGGTTCCCCTTCCAAACTAAAAGGTACCCTTATTCCAACCTCTCTACTAGGACCCAGATTGGCACATTTCAGGAATCAGCAAATATTTCGTGACCCAAGGCTGTTGCTGCTGCGAAAAGCCCGTGCTCGTCACCTGGAGCGCTGGCCTGAGCGGGGACATCCCTTTTCATCAACAGAGTTTTTGACCACACTGATGAGAAGGTTGGCTTGGGCAGCAGCGGGCAAGGTGGCAGCTGTTTTGCAGAGATGTGTGGAACCGGAATGCGACCGTTCAAAGGCTTGGCAATCGTGCGATTCCTGGCTTTATAAAGCCCGCAGAGCTAGCATCACGCTTCGCGTCACCTTCAATCATCCTCTTGGGACTGCCTTGCAACCTCGTCATTAGCTGATGGCAGCTTTGGCTGCTTTGGTTCAGCATCCGTTTAACGGTCGGAAACGGTGACCGGGTGACTGGTGACAGGGTCTCGCTTGCTGCCAGCGTGCGTGCTCTGGTTGTTCAGACCTGGAAGCCTTCGCATATTCCCGGAGGTGAAAGGCCTTCCACGGCAGGAATCATTGGTCCGTTCTGTGGCCACTCCCTATTTAAAAAAAAAAAAAAAAAACACACACACATGCACACACACACACACACAAAAACACTTTTCAATCAGGGTCACTGGCCAGCTGGTTTGGGCTAGCTTCGGGCGCCAGGTGCTGTCGCGGTTTCGAGCGCTCTTCAACATGGGGCTGGCTCCAGGGGCAGTGCCCGAAGTTTTGCAAAGAGAAGCAAGCGGCAACAGGCGCAGTCAGAGAGACCAAGCACCACCAGCAATGCCCAATACTACAAGAACAAACAGGTATTGAAGCAGGTGGAATTCCGATTCACATCAACTGTGCGATCGATTGCCCACGCTGGCTTTGGGCAAGTTCCGGTCAATCATGTGATTAATCCTCCAGTTGGAACTGACAGCTGACACCACACACTCCGCATTCATCCACGGTCGGACGCATGTCGCCCATTGAAGAAGACGACTACCCAACCTCAGCTGATGATGACTACAGTGCCCTGGCAGAAGTACTCAGCGTATTGGCTGACTTGACTGATGACTGCCGTACATGTTTGCAGTTGGCCAGCTGTTTGCTGCTTACTTGCTGGCTTTAAATTTCCTTGGGGTCATTGTGCCTCGCCATGGTAGGGCTAAAAAGCCTGCCAAGAATGAGCCTGGCAGATGTGGCACTGTCCCGGCGATTCCGGAAGGATGCGAAATGCCATCGGATGTCCAGATGTCTTTGACAACTCACCGCTCCCGCGGGCTAGCCGTGAGGCTCCAGGCCCTTTGAGCGAGACCGAGCGCCTCGCATGGGCCCTTTGGTGAACTGGAGCTCGGGGGCCGAGGGGTGTAGCTCGAGAGGGGGTGGAGGTGGCGGGTCGGCTTGAGGCAATGCCGAGGTACCCCGCCAGGCTGTCAGGACTCTACAACACTGGACAAGCAAACCAAACAAGTGTGCAACCTTGCTGGCCAGTTCGAATTAGCTGTTAGCACTGCCTAGCTGCGCTTGTTCGGCATGCCACCTCGCAATGCCTACAAATGGGGGTGTCATTTTCGAGGTACCCCTTTTTTGGTGGACTTACAGGGAAACCAAAAGGGAAACCGAAGCCATTTTGGGGGTCCAAATCCTAGAAAAACACACCCAAATTGAGCCTGTTCCCTCCTCTCCGGCCCACCTCCCGCACATCACTTCGAGTCTTCCTGCGGCGTTTTTCAGCGACTCCGACTTCCTATGGTGACCTTTCTATGTTGCGCGGATATACTCCAAGCCTTGCAAGCCTCATTTTATTGGCCCAAAAGGGGGGCCTGCAACGCCAGATGAACATTTCACACATGGGCATTCGACAGCCTTTCGGCACAAGAGAAAATGCGCACTTGCTGCATGGTAGCAGGGCCGGAACCGTAAGACCCTGTGTGGTCGCACAAGACCCTGCAGGGCGGCACGGGTGAGACCTCCTGGCGCCACTCAAAGCCCCCCACTGTGGCAACGACGAAGGCTACGGGGCTGCCAGGCCAAGGCCTGTCTGATACTCCATGCTGATCAGGTTCATATTGGAGCGCGCCACGAAGACCCACGTTGCCCAGTCTTTGCCCTTGCTGCTGAAGGTCCTCCTGGCAGAGAATGTGGCATCAGCCTTAGAGATGGAGACCGCAGAGTTGTCCCAGGATGCGAAGGTGCACGCGTGGGCTGTTCAACATCCACACACAGTCCGTGGAGGGCAAAGCCTTGTCAGGCATCATGAATGCGGAGTTTGGCAGCAGGTCTAAGATTGCATGCCGCTACACCAGCATGCTGATGGACATCATTGGCCCGGACTGGAGCAAGGTGACGGAGCTGGAGCATTGAGAGGCGCTCATCAGGCGCTATCAGGACAAGTCCAAGGAGAAGATCCCAACATCAGTGAAATGTGCTGTGTTGGGATCAGAATGACGTTGAGGACGAGCTCATCAGCCGATTGCCAGGAGAAGGACTTCAACCAGAAGCAGAAAGGCATAGAGGAGGATCGAGGACGACTACTCGTTCCTCCATCCTCTACAAGATGCCGAGTTCGAGTGGATTGCAGAGGCTACCCAAAGCAGATGCAGCAAGGAGCAGCGAAAGCGAGACCGACAACATGATTAAATGCTGGATTTTCATCAGCGTGGCATGGATGATGGTGGGCCAATCTGCGCAGGACAGGACCGGCGTTCCACAGAAATAGGTCCTGCAAGCATAGCCAGGAAGAGGCGGCTGAATGGCCGGATCGCCGCCACTCCCGACCAAGGGCGCAACGACAGATGAACATTTCTTACATGGGCATTTGACGGCCCTTGCGGCGCAAGAGAAAAACGCGCACCCGCTGCAGGGTCCCAAAAAAATTCACCACACCCGACGGTTTCTCCTTAGTTCTCCCTTTAAAGCACACAACAAGTATGCAATCGCTCTTCGGAACAAAGACTTGCAGGAGCGGGTCCTTGGATCTGGAGGATCTCTGCGACCGGCTGCTGGGTCTTCCCGCGCCCTGGAGAAACGCGACAAGCCCCATGGAAAGTGGGGACCGTGAGTGATCCCGCTAGTTATTCTACGCATCCCCAATGGAATTGGGGGTTTTCAGCCCCAGATTTCCGTTTGTGGTTCCATTTTCCTTTTCCGGGAAGACTAGGCCCCCACCCGCCCGGGGGACTTCCATTCAGTTTGAAACACACCATCTTTTTGCTTGGTGGCTCCCAGCCATCCTGTTCCTTAGCTTTGTAGCTTTTGAGGGTTTTGTTGGGTTTCCCCATGTATTGCTCCAAGAATTAAACTTTTAGCAGGGGACCTGAGGACAGCCATGAACAAATAAGTTTTCTAACCACATGCATCTTTGCAAGGAACGTGTTCTACAAGTATTTTGCAGAGGCATGACCACAACCAGTGGTTGGAAATGGCCAAGTCTCGGATAGTTTTTTGAAGGCAAGTCTGGAAGAGCTGCTGACACTCCGACAGCACTCCTTTGGGATCCCAGTGGCAAGTAGTTTCTCATGGCCCGTTAATCAGAAATACGGCCCCATACGCTCCCCCCTATGCAAAGGCCGCTACGGTCCTCGTCCAAATGGGGTCCCCCTTCTCCGTTCAACATGACAATGGTAAGGAACTTAAACGGCAGGAAACTCAATGTCATGTTGTTGATGTGTGCTGGAGTCGAGTTGGTTTATATTCTTAAGAATGGGTTGAGTATTGGCCAGTTCTAATTTAGTATTGGGAGGTTTGGGGTCGGGGAAAAATTAATCGTACTGAGTAGGGTGCATGTATTGGGGCCGGCGATGACTTGCTTTTGGGTTGTCGCTTCATGAAGTGCGAGCGCTATGGTTGGCATGTGGCTAAAGGTATGGTGTGCCAGTGCTGTAACAGGGGTGCTCGGCATACGCCCTCAGGGTCAGAATTGCCGGGGTAGACCCTCAGGAGTACACCGTCAGCACATGTTTTTTGTTTGGCTAAGATGGTGATGATCCTTGTGGCTGCCCTTTCGAAAGCACAAGCAAGGGGTACCCTTTAAAAAAGACACACCCAATTGACAAGCTGTGTGTGTGCCTGTGTGTGTGTGGTTGTTCAGCTGTGGCCTTTGGTGAACATGTTTGTCTCCTTCTCTTGGGCCAAGCACGTACAATGTCGAGCGTCGTTTTTTCATGGTTGTTCTTGGGAAACATTTTACATTTGCTTCCCTTCCAACGTCAACCCAGTTTTGTACTGCATCCACTTGGGCCCTCAGTAGGAAGTTGTTGAGTGCACATTAGGTAAACCGAACCGCCGGTAGGGCCCAAAGTCAGCAGGCGGATTTTGGGGATCTGCGGCCAGGTCCCCCAGTCGTGCCCTTTAACCGTTTCTTTTTGGGGGAGGGTTCCCCTACTAAAATTGGCTACAGAAAAAAGTTGGTACCCTTATTCCAACCTTTCTACTGGAGGACCTGGGCGAATAATGCGAAATATTTCGGAGCTGGCCTGCTGAAATTGAGGTTTACGAAGGAGTGTTGACGCAACGTGTATGCCAGCCGTTTGCGAATCCGCCCCTTGGGGATTGCTTGCCCATGCTTGAAGTATAAGTTTGACATGCAAGTTGCAGATAGTCTGATAGGTGTGTCTCATTCTTGGCATCGGTTTTCCTGTTGGCTTCCCTCTTAGCTAAGCCCCATAAGGGTTTCAACACGTTCAACTCCAAAAAAGTCGAGCTTTCCAGGTAGAAGATGCTGAAGAGGAAGCCAGAGAGGCCCTGAAGGAAGTGACGGATGTGGCAGCAGATGCGGACGTGTTGGCAGTGCTCTTGACGGTGTTTCGGACAGACCGAGATTCTGCCATCCGAGGGGACGACAGCTGGGAGAATCCCTTGGAGTCTTGGTTTGCATCCCCGCCCCCTAAATGGGGGAATTCCATTGGTCCCATTGGCCCTATGGGGGAAGAGCTTTGAGGAATGGAATTGGAGGGACCCCATAAAGCTCTCCCAGGTGGGATCTAGGGATCTACGTGCTGGGTTGTTGACGCTGGGTCATAGCTTTGGGAGTTTCCTAGGACTTGAAGTAGCGCAGGTGGCTGCTTGCATCTGTATGCTGGCTGGGGCCGCGCATCTGAGATGTTGAGATGTTCATGTAGTTCGGTGTGTTAGCTGTGGCCCGGCAAAAAGCGTAGTTGATTCCACAACCCCAAGGGTACCAGTGAGTCCCAAAACCAAGCAGCATGCACCTGAAATCCTCCATTCGATGCGAATTTTCCACGGTGTGCATGGAGGGCGTTTGGTTCGGGCAAATCCGCAAATCAGAGTCACGGAGCCATAGAGGGGCCAAAGACCTTGATGAGTCCTTGGTCCTGGATGGTTGCCAGTCATGCGACTTTTGCTTTCTCTGTTGGTGCGACCTGTTCAAGCAATACGAACCTTCCGGTCATGGATTAGCTGGCCACTGAGGGCTTAACCACGTTTGGGGTAGCTTGCGTGTGTGGGCCCACTTGAGTGTGAATAAGGTTCTCCGATGGTTCGCGCACGTGAAGCCTTCCCGACGTCAATTGAATTGGGTTCCTTTTGCCAGTGATACGGCGGTGTGCCTACAGTTTTTTTTCAAGCCTCTTTTAGGGCCCGGGGAAGGCAACTCACGAGCCAGACGCTTTCCCTGGAGCACCATCTATCACGATTCGTGTTGGACCGGACCAAGAAAGCAAGCTTAGGGGTTGGTAAACAACTTGGCAACTCAGCCGCATGAGCAAGGAGCTGCCCGCAAGCCCAACAGAGTGCTTTGAGCCCAGCCGAGGGCTACTGCAAGCGCATGTGCGCCTTGTGCGACCGGAACTTTCTGAGCGGCGGGGGCCAGCCCCGGGCGGATGACTTCCCCGCACGCGTCGTGGCGGGTGTGTACGCGGAGTGCGGCCGCACTTTTGCCGGGGCCTCGAGCAGAAAACGCCGGGCTTTAGTGACCTGATGTTGGTTCAGTTTTCGCACGGACTCGTTGGGCCCCTATTTGGCACTGGGATTGATGGTTTCCGCAGTGCGGTGTTTGGATGGTCAGGTCAGCGAGTCAGCCAGCCAACCAGCTGGCCGGTTCTTACCGTTCATGCTGTGGGGGTTCGCAGGTATTTCTGACAGTGCAGCCAGGGCCCAGGGCGATTTTTTTGAGTACTGAAAGCTTTGCTTGGACAAGGCTGCCATGCACAGTTTGTACTTCTGGTTTGCCGTGTTGTTCTGTCCCTCTTTCTGGAGTGGAAGATCCGACCTCCCAAGGCGGGTGACCCGTCACTGAAGCAGGCCAAAAAGCCCAAATCAGCTCCCCCAGCAAGTTTTTAGCTGTAGAGCACAGCTACGAATCTAGGCCATTTTTCCCTTGACCTACCAAAGTAGCATCATAAAGGGAGAGAAGCTTTCCGGATCTTTTTACGCCGCCAGTTCGTGGCGGGAGAGACTTCCACGGCCCGGGATCAGCTGCAGAAAGCGCTCAACGTCTACGAGATCCTGAAGCCAGGGCATGAGGAGCGGGGCGCGGCACCCGGGGGGGGGAGGTTGTGTGGCTATACAGTCAAGAGTACCAAAAATTATTCATGTTTGTGCTTCTTCCCTTTTTTTCCCGTGAATAAACACGACGGCGAATCACCTGGGGCCTTCGTTGATCCGTGCCCCGCTCGGAAACTGCTGCGGAGCGGGTTTCCGTCAGGAGCTGCCTCAGCTGGCAGCATGTCGTGCCTCGCTCGCGCGGGTTTGCCGCAAAAGCGGGCAACTGAGGAGGGCTCAGGACGAGCCGCCCGGCGTGGAAGGCGGAAGCAAATTGGCCCAGTGGTTTCTGTTCTGAGTGGTTTCTGAGCGGTTTTGGAGTGGTGCAGAAAAATATTGTTGGGTACAAATCCGGAAGCATCCTCACCACGATGTCCAACCCGAACATGCCCAAAAATGTGGTTGCCCGGCCCTTGTTTTATTGCTTCTCCTTCGTCTTCTTCTTGTCTTCTTTGTTGTTTTGTTTACGCCCCGGGCTGCCGTTGCGACATTTGGGCCACGACAGGGCGGAGTTAAACCAGGCCCCAGTCACGCAAGTCCCTCGTCTGCTGTTTGGCCTTCGTGGCCCTTCGGCCTTCGGATCCGAAAAGAGGGGGGCGCGTCTGAAGATGTAATTTGCAATTTGCCGCCCAAGCAAAAAAAACAGCGCTTGCGGACCCCACCCCAGATGTATATGTCAGTTTTTCTTTGGGGGGCTGGGTAGAAGGTCGAACTGGGAGAACAACTCCAAGGCTCAGAAATGATGTGCCAACCCCATGCTGCCTGAATCTTTCAAATCCTCTTGGCCTCGCTTTTCAACCTACTGCCCGGAAAAAAAGAGCACCATCCCAACAGGTGAAAAGCTTATGGCCGCGTTGTTGCTGAGCGATTTTTCTATGAAATTTACGTTTTCTGAAATCTCGGAGAAATTTGCCGCCATCTCCGCGAGGTCATATAACACCTGGAGATTCATTCTCCATGAATTTCCTGGTAGTTCTCGGCTTTGACTTGCTTTTCGTAAATATCGTTTTTTTTTTTTTTTTTTTTTTGGTTTTTTTTTTTTTTTTTTTTTTACTAAAGTTCCTATATTTTTGGTGAGATTTCAGAATTGGTACGGTTTCACGTTTTCCCCGCCCAGAATTACCCGCAAAACGCCCGCAAAACCCCGCAAACACCCGCGAATCAGAAAAAAGACGTTTTTTGGGCTCCTAGAAACCACTTAGAACGCCCAACACGCCTAAAACTACCAGGAAACTAAAACGCCTAGGAAAAGGCCGGAGAATGAATCTCCAGGCAGTTGATGTTTGCAGTGGATCGCACGCTAGGCACCTGCAAGACAACTAAAGCCCCGTGCAAAAGCCATTAGGATTTTTGGGTAGCCACAGGGAAGTCTTCTGGCAAGTTGTAGCATGCCGCCGCCCAATATAGAGGGTCAGTGGCCAGCAGGTCGGAGAAGTTTGCCAATGCAGCCATAGGCGGCGGAGTTTGGCGGCGGATTCCTATATTCGGCCGGCGGCGGATTTAAGTTTGGGGCCGGCGACAGGTCCAGCGAAGATTGCAGCGTAAAACCGGCGAAATTTTGTGATGCACAGATTCCCTTCATCTGAATTCCACCGGTTCTCCGCCGCAAACTTCCCCGTGCTCCGTCCCCGCGCTCAAGTAAAGCCTGGCACAATTTCTCCGCCAGACGCCTCGCGATCGAATACCCACAACTTTTTGCATTCAGGCTTACACATGATTCAATGATTGCAGCGCACGCAGAGAGCAACTTGGAACGCGGGCAACTGCGCCGCGCGAACGCCAAAGTTTGTCATGTCTGACTGGGCAGCGCTTCGGCTCGATGGCTTGGTTATTACGTTAAAGAAAACCCACCCTCAGACTTCAATGCGCAAAGTCATCCACTATATTCTTTGGAGGGGAGGAGCAAAGGTAACTTCTGGGTTCCCAGGTGTCCCCTCCCTTTGCCAAGCCCAAGTTATTTGCACCAAGATTGAAAGTGAGCCTGACAGACTAAACTTGAAAACGCGTGATGTGCTTTTGCCATGTGGGTATCCATAGGTACATCTGTTTCTCCTGTACATTTTGGATACCGGTTTTCGACCAAAGTGTTGGTCGCGCCCGAGGTTCCTGCAAGCTCTGCAGCTCCTTGCAGAGCTGCCGGACTGCTTCGATGCCCCGGAGCTCATCTCGGAGTACGCGGAGGTCTTAGCGGAGGCTCCGCCGTCCGAGGCCGTGGTCTCCACGCAGCTTTTGGCACCCTGGCACGTTTCTTTGGCTGAGGCTGGCTGATGTATATGGCCTCTTTCCCGAATGCATAGCAGAAGGGTCCCTGTTGTGCGTCCGTAAGTGTTCGCAAGCGCCAGCGGTCGCAGGTGGCCAGTGACCGTGCCGTTGGGGCTCAGAATGTGCGATTTGTATGACTAGCAACTTGCAACATGTTTTTTCGTTGCGCCTGTTTGCCAACAGTAGCTTTTGCGAGGCTGCGTGTCGTTTCGCCGCGCAGGCGCAGTGTTTTGGAAGGTTGCTTGCCCTTGTGTCAGATAGGAAGGTAGGAAGATAGTTAGGCAGGGAGAAAAAGATAGGTTAAATAGACAGGCAGGTGAAAGAAACTGGTAGGTAGATAGAAAAATGGAAAGATAGAGAGATCGAGAGAGAGAGACCCTCTTTGGGTTGGTTGAGGGGGAACCTGTAGCGATCTTTTGGTGCTCCCCATGAGTTTTTGCTGGCGCCTCTTGAGTTGGGGGTCCGGGGGGTGGGGGATGACTTAGCGATGTTGGAAAGATCTAAGTGGATAGTTGCGGCAAATACGCAAGAGGCTTAGCGGGGTCAGCCACTTTCCAGACAGATGGACCAATGAAGTTGCTCAGGCCCCTTTCTTTGTTTGACGTGATGCTGCGTCGTGTTTTGCGGTTTGCGCAAGTTTGACTGGCCAAGAAGATGCTTCTTCAGCAACGAGTCCAGTCGCGCAAGGTTGTTCATACGTGAACGGGGAGCGATTGCGCGGCTAGTTCTTTAGGCGGGTGCCTGGCAGCTAACCATGTGAGATTCTGCGCGTGTGGAATGTCTCGGTTTGGCGTGGAAAAGCCGTGCCACAGTTGAGCTGTTGCATTTGATGTCTTATTTTCAAGGGTTTGCAAAGGGAGCTCCCTGGATTTTTGTGGCGTGAAATCCGGAAGCCTTATGCCAAGCCCAGGAGCTGATGATGGAGTTGGTGGAGGAGCACCAAGCCCCCACCAGTTTATCGGGCAAAAGCAGGCTGATCGCCAAACCCTTAGAGGAACGTTGCTGAGGGTTTTGCCCGGGAAGCCAAGTCCATGTTTGCAAACCGAGGCTCTGACCGCTTGTGTTGAAGGCCCATGTTGGAAAACCACATTCGCGGAGCAATCAAGGATATCTGGCGATTTTTTGGATCCTCTCCTGCCCGAATGAACTATGAAAGGCCCAAGCATGCGCATTTCACGGGTACCAGCCGTGGGGGTTGGTGGCAAATTCGGCGGCGGGACCCGGATTCTACCAAGTGATCATCAGAAAGACATGGTCGCGAGTCACATGGTCCAGCTGGGCCCAAATGTTTTTTGTTTTTTTCCTCCTTTTTTGCGGGCGGTTTACCCTCCGCGAGCTTTCATTTGCCATGTTAGGAGGGATGGCGCGAGTAAGTTTTGGCAGCAAGCATTTGTCATCTCTTGTTGCTGAGAGGATGCCATCTTTTTGAGCATGTTTAACCCTGAAAATATCTTAAGCATCAATATATAGCTTGTTAGTCCTTCCAGGACTTTAAACGAATGTCGAGGTGTTTGTTTGGTTTTAATCTTAAGTTTCTTCTTAGATTCTTCGCAAAAGCTGAAAGTGTTCGCTTATCAGAAGACCTTGCACTCGATTTAGGTAGTTGCAACATCTTCCCTGCCACGTTCAGTGACGCCCCCTATTGTCGACCTTGTTCCAGGGACGTGGCCCTACTTTCATTTAGTTACTTCCCCGGTTGGTTTTAAAGTGAATATATATTGGACTTGTTTTTTGTATGATTTTCCCGGGGGCTCCAGCAATTGGAGGCTTAGACGATATGACCCCAAGCGCGGCCCGTTCCTTCCTTCGGTGATTTCTGCAGCTAGAATGCTTCGGCGATCGAGGAGAAGTTCGGGGACTGCAGTGAGGAGCACATCAAGGCATTGCAGGCCGGGTTTAGATGGGTGGGTTCTCGTACGGCTTGGGTACGCGGAAGCGACCCCCAGGAAAATGGGATTGCGGTTTCGCATGGTTTTTTTCCTCCCACAAAGAGAAAGTGCTTGCTTGCGTTGCCTTGCCTTTCCTTGTTTTGTTTGCCAGCTGAATGTTCAAATGGAAATCGGCAGGTTTTGTATTGACATGTGCCAATCTCGGAGCCCTGGTTGATTTCATCAGTCTCATGAATGGGAAAACGAAGCAATCCCCAAAGGAAGGCCACCTAGCGCATACCTTCGATGAGCCTGGAACCATACACATACTTGCAGAAGCAGGGCGACACAGAAAGACACGAACACATGCAGAGACAGACACTGGCAAACAGACACGCATGCAGACCGAGAGAGAGAGAGAAAGAGAGAGAGAGAGAGAGAGTGAGAGAGCGGGAGAGACACACAAACACACGCACAGAAATAGCACGAAGGCAGACACGAAGACACACACGGACAACACACCGAGACATACACGCACACACAACAGAGACACAGACAGACAGACACAGACAGAGACAGACAGAGACACACAGAGAGACAGACGGAGAGAGAGAGACAGACAGACAGAGACAGACAGAGACAGACAGAGACAGAAGCAGCTGGTCACTGCAGGGTCAATGTGTGGGTCATTGCAAGGGTTTTCAGACTCGTTTCTCACTCCCTGAGTTTTGGCCCATCCACTCAGCAAGAGAGAACTTTGGCGGTTCCATTCTTATCCGCACCGCTTCCATTTGCCGAAATGTATATGTCATTTTCCGTTCGGTTTAAACGGAATCAATAGCACTCTTGGGCACATGTGTTCATGAGTTTCAGGGGGCGAACTTCCACTTGCCAAGAAGGAAATACAGAATAGTAGTGGTTCCCCTGCTAAAATAGTAAAGTAGACAAAGCCGAAGAAAGAAGAAAAAAGAACAAGAGAAAAATAGTTGGTACCCGTGTTCTAACCTATCGAATCTGGAGGACCTAGGCAAACAACAACCGCCCTTCGGGTTGCCACTTGTGGATGGCCGTGGCCAGTAGCTCACGGCCAGGAGCTCTCCGGCGGCTGTTTGAGCGCGGGGCGGCCGGCCTTGGCAGCGCCCCTGCTGCTGAACCTCACGAGGCCGTGCCGCCGGCCTGAGCTGGCCATGGGTCAGTACAATGGGATCCCAATTTGGGGTTTTCGGTGCACCACCCATGTTCGTCTATTTTAGTGGGGATTGGGATGTTCACGTCGAACGTGAGCCCCGGAAAGGAGGAACTCGTGGGGTATTTGTCCATATGGCCGTGGGTCAACACCAACCATTTTGGGGCTAGGTGAATTCACCACCCACTTTAGGCTTCCTATTTTGGTGGTTGGATTGGGATGTCCACGTGGGGATTGGTACTTGTTTTTTCTCTCACCCATAGCCAGGTGGGGATTGGTCAAAATGAAGCCAGAAGGAGATGGACAGGTTGCGTCGTCCATCTCTCCATACCCGGGCAGCCCCATTTTTGGGGTTAACCTATTCTTGACCCACATGTTGCATGAGCCCAAGCGCAAGGAAGAGAATTCGCCTTGGCGACTCCGAAGAGCCCTGAGATAATGTGAAAGCACCTCTTGTTTTGAGCGACTTCCATCTTCCCGAAGGCGTGGCCAGCTGGTTAAGTTCGGAGGGTCAGCAAGGTGGCCGGACATGCTTGAATATCAGTTCTCACAAGTCATAGCATTACCTGTCGTTTTTTGTTGAGCTGGTGGCCCATTTTAGCGCTTGATCTACGCTGAAGCCGCTTCATTGCACATGAGCTGGGCAAGGAAATGTGCAGGCAGCAATGGACTTGGTTGCGCTTGTCGCACTGCTGTGCTTCTTTTTTGTGCCCGACTGCTTGATACCATCATTGTGATTGCTCACCTTGGCCACTTACCGGGAGCAGAACTCTGCCAACCTTCGCACCCAACGATCGCCCAGGGTAAATTGAGATATATACCCTTTATATGGCTGGCTATATGGGCTGTAAATCCCGTAAAACCCTCAAGGCAGGGGGGTGGTGATTTGGGGGTAGTGGAAGCCATCTTAGATCTTGGAAGGCGGTCGTTTTTTGGAAAGGCAGCACCACATTTGCGTTGCATAGGGCGCTGCGGGAAGATGGAGCTGCCACGCGCGAGATCCAGGCGGGCTTCTGACAAAAAAACATCGGGCTTGGCTTTGGCCGGGCTTCGGCCTTGGCAAGGGAGGGCAAAATTGGTTTGAGGCGTGAATTTTTTTCAGAGAAGCCCTCTCAACGAGTGAAGAGACCCTTTGGAAGGTCTCAGGCAGCCCGCTTCCATATGAGAACAAAGTCGCGGCAGGCTGCGGAGCAACAGGCAGCCGAGGCCTTTGAGGCGGCTGCATGCGAGCAGATGCAGCAGAATGACTTCGAGGCCGGCGAACGCCTTCTTGGAAGGTGTTCTCTCTCGGAACCGGTGTTTTGTTTTCATAGTTAGCCCCCGGCTCGGGGCATACCCCGGCTCGGAGACTGGTTGGTTGGTTGGTTGGTTGGTTGGTTGGTTGGTTGGTTGGTTGGTTGGTTGGTTGGTTGGTTGGTTGGTTGGTTGGTTGGTTGGTTGGTTGGTTGGTTGGTTGGTTGGTTGGTTGGTTGGTTGGTTGGTTGGTTCTCTCTCATGTTCTCTCTGTCCTTGAGTTGCCCTCGGTTGTTGCATCTGGTGGCAAAAGCTATGAGCCGAAGCTCAAATATGACGAGTTCCGCCGCGATGAGCTTTCCTGCGTGATTTTGACGCGTAAACGAGGAGGCCCTCTTACTGCCATGTCATTTCATCGCATCGCCGTCATGAACAAGGCATTGCCTTCAGAAGCAAACATGGGACACTGTGCATGTTTGTGGTCATGGGTTTACTACCCGCTAGCAAGCAGCCTTCGCAAAGCCTTTGAGCTAGGTGATCAACATGTATGTTGGATGTAGGAGAGTTGCATCAACTTGAGACAAGGGCACGTTTCCCCCTTTCCCCTCATTAAACGCAGTGAGCACCAGACTTTCTCAGCCCAGTTGGAACCTGGCCACAAGCCGCTGGCGTCAGACTATGCAGCTTGTTTGTCTTTGTCCGGCCTGGTTGCCCCAGTCCAGCGCTCCTGTCCCTTTCCCCCTCCCCACCCAAAAAAAACAAAACAAAGTCAACTGGTGAGTCCGGGTTCTTCCGTGAGGCCGCCGCCAACACGTGGTCCTCGGCCATCCGGATGCGAGAGGCTTTGAATGCACAGGACGGCCTGGGACATGGCAGCCTGCAGCCCGCCCCCCCCCCCCCCCCCGAAAAAGAAAAAAGACATGGGGCAGTCTGCGAGAAGCACGTTGGCCTTGCGCCGCCCTGCGTGAGCGTGACGCATTGTGCTTCTGGCTATCCTTGTCAGCATTCTTGAGGGTTCACCTATTCTGAGGCACCCAAATGGATGCTTTTCGGCCATGACGCTGGCATGACGGCTTGTCAAGGGGCACCGGTTGCGGGATCGAATTGCCAACTGTAGGCATCCTATGGTCTAGACTTCTTGGACAGGATGCTCAAATGCCAAACGAGTCCTTCATTAATGGCAGAGTTGAGCATCGATTTTGACCACAAAATGCAAAACCGAACCTCAACGGGCAGGCGACCAGGTGCTGTTTTACCATTGGTTTCCTTTGAGAATGCCCTATCACCGCGGTACCCCCCCTTCCTCCATGGAATTGGGGGAGGAGTGACGCCGGGAGATCTCCATTTATGGTTCCATTCTCCCTGTTGTGGGCATGGCCAGAGACATGGCATTGGGTCCTGAAGCTCAGGATCCCCCACCCTCCCAGAAGGTAGGATGGTACCTCAAAAACGATTCTCTCCCTTGGGGACTAGAGAAGTTGGGTCCCGGATGTAGGGATCCCCATCCCCCGGATGGCGGATGCTACATGATGCTACCCTCAAAACATTGGTGCATGTTGCTTCGATGTTAGGGCTTTAACACTTTTTGCCAACTAGTGGGCTTTCCATTAAAAGTGAAACTTGTAGCAGGGGAGCAGAAAGCAACCGAGAAAAGGCACCCTCAAAAAGATTCGACAGGAGGAGGTGCTGGCAGAGATGCGGGCCTCCCTGGCGGTTCTGCAGCAGATGGCCGGCGGCAGCGCGGCAGCCAGTACCCGGGAGCCTGGGGAGCCCGAGCCGACCGCCCAGTCTGAGGCGGGAGAAGGGGAGGTCGGACGGACGAAGGGAGCTGGAGGTATTCCCTTCCCACCAGGGGAGGCACCTCGAAGATCAATTTTCCTCTTAAGGAAGCCCCTGGGCAGGTGCCAGGGCAACATGGGAGGGAGTCCGGGTCAGAGTCCTGCTTGCTTACGGACATGGTAGTGGGGCTTGAAAGAAACCAACAGGAGGGAGGGCCTATTTGGAGACAAGCCCAAAAAAGGGCCAGGAACGACAGCTGGTCTCTATCTCAATATTCATCCCTGACTTTGCCGCCCCCAAAAAACTGCATTTGTTTCATGAGAAGGGTTGAGCCTGTTGTGTCGCTCCTTTGTTCCTGGATGTGGTCTTTAGGCTAGTCTTTAAGCAGGCCTCCTTAAAAGATACATTTTGCCCATTTGAAACTTTTTCCACCAAAATACAGGGAAACCACCATTTACAAGTTGCAATGTTCAGGTGTATAATGTAAGGATCGATGTTAAGTTGTTCTTGTGCATTGTACAGGTGTGCTTGCTTTGCTTTGTGAATTTGATTGGTGTTGGTCAGTCAGTCAACCGAGCCGTGTTGTGGTTTGTGCTTGCGGGGCCAAACCAACATCCATTGCGCTCCCGGAAATGGCTGGAATTCTTGCCGCAGTCAGCGCGGAAAGGTATTCAACCCGATTTTCCCAGCACCCCCAGGTTCAAAAGCTCAGAAACGAAAGCTGCTGGTTTGGATCGGAGATTTGAAGCGCTGGCTTTGGGGCCAAATGAGACTCCTTGAATCCCAGCAAAGCATCGGTCTCCGCACAGGACAGCCACAGCCACGGGAGCGCCAGCCCATGCCCCGTGCCTGACAGCTGGGACGAGGAGCTTCCGAGCACACAGGAGAAGTGAAGCAAAGCGGGCGATGGCCCCAAACAACGATATGACATGTGACTGTCTGGACGTGAGGTTGCCCGAAACAGACTGGTGGAAACAGACAGGGCAACTTGCTTCAGCGGGCCTGACAGGGGAATTCAAGGATTCAAAAAGTATCTTGTTCAAGAAACCACATCCAAGCTCGCGAACATAACCTCTCCCCGACATCTCCGAGCAAACTCCCCAAGCCATGATATGGATAAACATGATGTTATCTTGTCGGGGAACTTAAACATGATGTCAGCTTGTCGGGTAACCCCCCGTCTGGAGGGACATGTCATTTGTTTGAGGGCACCCAAATTTTGGGGGTTTAGAGGAAAATCGTGTCTGTGCGTCTTTGTTCCTCACCCCAAATGGTGGTTTATGTGCGGAATATCCCCCAACCACCTTATGTCAGGTTGGTGAAATATTATCATTCACCCAGATGCATGATTTCTGCTCGGCCGATGCATGGCCGATCCGATGCTTCAGTTTTCATGAGTGGCAGGACCTGCGGCCCAAGCCATCACTCACACAGCCAGCACAGAGCCTCCGCCCCGGCTGGAGCCGTGGCAAGGACGGCTGGGATTGAAAAAGGCGGCTTCGGGCGTGGACTTGGTGCTGAAGTATGGGGCTAAATGTCCACAAAATCAAGGGGATTGTTTGTGATTAGTTTTTCCGACCCCCTGTTTCAACACCACAGCCAGCAGAGAGATTGTGTCAAGTACCTTCGCTAGGATACCTAGGAGCCTGACACAAGTTGAGCCGAACGGTTCTGCGAGCACGAGCCAGCGGACGATCACTTGAGGCTTGAATAGCCACCAAAAAAGGTGGCAACCTAAAAAGCAAGACGTGCCCCGTTTGTTCCGAGGCCGGGGCTGGTGGCTTACACCTCAGCGCTCACCGCGCCGGGCGCTCGCTCAATCGCCGGCGGGTCGTTGTTTCTGTTTTGTTTGGATTCGAGCATGTCCAAGTGTCAGGTCACCTTTTGGTGGTTTGGATAGGTTTGGGATTTGAACCCCCGGCCGGGTGTGGAGATGGGAAGATAGCCAAGCCACCAATCCAACCTGTCCAAGAGGGCTTAAATAACAACTCAGCTTCCATTGATTTGTGGTGGCTACAACAATTCAGCTTCCATTGATTGGTGGTTTGGTGGTTTGGACCTTAGGGGCCTCGAGCTTATGCCAAAAGTTGGGATCCTCGAGCTTATGCCAAAAGCACACATCGATAAGGGAGGAAATAAAAGCAAACGATAGCATCAAACAAGCGGTGCATGTCCAAGTGTCCCCAGTTCCCACAAGTCAACCCCATGGGTGTCCTTTTTGTGCTAGCTTGGTTAGAAGTAGATGCCACTGGATTGGAGTTGCTTGATTCCATCTACCAGGGCCATCTATTGTACCAAAAGGACATCTATGGTCAGCCCTGTTTCCATTTGTTTCAGCTTTAAGCAGCCGAATGGACGGCACGCGAATTCGAGGTTTGAGTCCGGCGCTTTTGTATTTTCTTGCTTTGTGACTGGGGGATACTTGAAGTTGGCGGCAACACTTGGCGCTTGGCGGATTCTCCCATTTGGTTTCGAACGGCCATGCAAAAGCTAATCAAACGTGAGCCCCGGAAAGGAGGAATTCGTGGGGTATTTGTCCATATGGCCGTGGGTCAACACCAACCATTTTGGGGTAGGTGACTTCACCACCCATTTTAGAACCTATTTTAGTGGTTGGATTGGGATGTTCTGTGGTACGGGGTTTTGACCCATGGCCATATTCTCTACCCCATGGCGCGCGTCAAAGCGCGGTAGGGCCGTTTGGAGAAGCCGAAGGTGTGGGCGCCTGCAGATCTGGGAAGAGGCGGTGAGCATCCTGGAGGCGATGCAGGCTGGAACCAGCGGATTTGTCGCAAAATAGAAACCCCTCCGAAACTCGGCCCAGAACAAAAGCACGCAAAAGGGGTATTGATCCCCAAAAAAGTACGTAGGATCTTGTTGGTTTGTTATTCGGGCGGGGGGGGGGGAGGGGGTGGAAGGGTAGACCATGTATAATGAGGCGCGCGCGCCCCTGCAAATCCCACCAACTTGAAGCCCAACGTGTTCAAGGGCAGCAGCCACACTGTACAGATCAAGAACCTGAAGCCCGTCTGCATAGCGCGCGGAGCACTTTTGTTCTTCCAAGGCGCAAATTAATTGTAGTCAGGCTTGGTCTGCTCATAGGTATAAGGCAAAAGGCAATTTGAGTGTCAACATTGTTTTGCATTATCTTATGAGCATACCGCCTGGATTGACCCGTGAAAAAAAAGCACTGCGCACGGGACGAGCACATGCAACACCACACCAGGCGAGCAGTCTGCGGTGCTTGTCATGCAAAGTAAACTCCCAACCACACACATTATAAAGTTGTACTTCAGGGCAGTACGCGCACACACCTACACAGCACACACCCACGCAAACAAAGAAACAAGCAAGAAAGCAAGCAAGCAAGCAAGCAAGCAAGCAAGAAAGCAAACAAACAAACACACAGACAGACAAACAAACTAACTAACTAACTAACAAAGGAACAGAAACATACATATCCACATCAACACATTTCGCGTTGCGCAACATTGCCTGTGCAACCATCCCAGCTCTGTCCTAGCTCTGTCCCAGCTCTGCCCTAGCTTTCTCAGCTCTGCCCAAGCTCTGCCCCAGCTCTGCCCCAGCTCTGCCCCAGCTCTGCCCCAGCTCTGTCCCAGCTTTCTCGGCTCTGTCCAAGCTTTGTCCCAGCTCCGACCCAGCTCGGCTCTGCCCAAGCTCTGTCCCAGCTTTCTCGGCTCTGTCCAAGCTTTGTCCCAGCTCCGACCCAGTTCGGCTCTGCCCAAGCTCTGTCCCAGCTTTCTCGGCTCTGTTCCAGGTCTGTCCCAGCTTTGTCCCAGCCCTACCCCAAGCCTCTCCAAAAGGCAAGCGTCATCCGCGCCAAAAGCACAAAGCCTCACACACCACTCCCAGTGACATAACGCACTGCCACAACTTATGAGCCTTTAAGTGGCCACACTTGCGCAGATAAACTTTTAGATGTGCAACCTTGTATCCACTGCATCACGCAGACACGTCAGGGGAAGTTTGACATGCTATCCGCATCCTCAACCGCTCGCCAGTGATAGTTCTATGTTGGCATACGGCCTGCCGGCCTTTTCCTCGCATGCACACCGAGCCTGGCTATGCCGGGCAATCGCGCTAATGTAAAGGGAGTGCGCTTGCGGGCTTTGCCCTCAGCAGCTGGCCGCTTCAAGCCAGAAGCCGCAATCGCTGCTTGCTCGTGAGCTACCTGGACATGAATTGGAGCCTTCAACTTTGCTTCTCGGGTCTGGGCTGCCCATTCGGACCACTCATCCTTGGTCCATAAGGACTGCCCCAAGCGGCGTGCAAGAACATGGGCAGATGGCATCTGCCTGGCTGTGGGGTGATACAGTGCCATATTGTGCGCTAGGAGTTTTCCAAGGAAGAGCACGCGCAGCTTCAGCTGCAACGTGCTCCTATGAAGCTGCTGCACCTGACGAAACCAGGAGTTCAGCTCAGCGTGCAGGGCCTCATTTGATGTTGTCCCAGATGGCATGAGCATCTGCACATTCCTGGGTAGGAAGTGCCGGAAGCGCAGGTTATTGAACAGCCATTCAGCGCGGTCTGCTGCAGTGAGGTTGAAAAGTAGCTTGCCAATAGTAAGCTTCGTGCCTTCCAGCTTGCGAGGCAAATCTTTCGAGTGCTCCCTGGCCAAGGCCGCGACGGCTTCCACAAACTGCACACGTGTCGGCCACACGGTCAAGGCATCAGCTGTGGAAATCACATTCTTGGCCCGATGCAGCGACATGCTGCCATCTTTGATGTAGCCACGAAGCAACTGTTCTTGGGCAGCCATCCGTGCAGGATTAGTACCTGTGAACGCTTCCCCCCAAATGTTCTCTGTAGTTGAGCTATCATACGCAGTGAACTTCGCCATGAAGCGGCGAAGAAGATGAGACCCTGCAGAACGTCTGCCTCCTAGCGCTTGCTCATAATGCATAGCTGCATGTGTTGGGTCTAGCGACAACCCCTGTAGGTTTGGCAGCACGCGTGAAAGCCCTTGATGCAATCGAGCAGAAGGGTTGTCCGTGGCCACATGCTGTGTTTGCGCACGTGAAGAAGCAGGCAGGTCTTTGTTCAAGCACGCTGCAATGTCGTCTGAGCTCTCGCCCGGGACTGCAGACATGGCCAACACAGCGCCAGATCTGCCCCGCACAGTGAGGACCCTGCGAAGACTCTCCTTGTCTTGAAACGCAGCATTCTCCCGTGAACTTTTCGGCTCGTTGAACTTGGCTTGGCCCATGATTGAAAGACAAACTCGGAAAGTGCCATCGATGGACAGGCACTGAAACTCTTGATTCTCTGCAGCTTCGTCCAGCAACGAAGCTAATAGCTGATCACACGCAGGCGAATTGAATACATCTTCCACCAGGGGCCACCAGCTAGATGTGTGTGTGGGCAGCAAATTCGTTAGCATGTTACCCGCGTTCACGGAGTCCAGCATAAGCCTGGGCCAGATCGACTTGACCTCAAGGGGCGCTTGCGGTTTTCGAAACACAGGCATACTGCATTCAAACACATGCGTGCACGCCCAGCCTTTGCGTTGTGCAGAAGCATTTCTTGGAACAACTTCTCACCAAATGCGCGGGTGTAGTACAAGTTGCCACACCTGCGAACACGGCCCGGCTCCTGCACGAACTCGATGTGAACAATGCTTGGGCCCTTTGTGTCCAGCAGGAGGCGGATGTGCCGATCAACATGGTTCATAGTAGATGACAGCGGGGGCTGAATCGAGCGCCGGAGCAACGCGGCACTACGCCGCAAGTAGTTCCCTTGGCGTTTCCCCGCGAGGACATCTGAATCATGTAGGGAGAGAATCACTCGAAGTTGTTTGTACCCAGAGCAGCAATATCGCTTCTTCGCACAATGGTACCTCTGCCAGTGGGCCGCCAAACGGCTGCAGCGATCAAACGACCTGAAAGGGCAGCCCGAGCAAGGAAATGCCCCTCCCCGCGACTGCGTTGTTCCTGCTTTTACAGCTGCTAGATGCCGCGCAGCTTCTTCTGCAAGCTCATTCAGGAGAATCTGGTCCACAGTGACCATGCCGTCCTTGTCGAGCCAATGAAACTCGCCATGGTCCGCAGCCGGATTGCAAGCAATGTGCTGCGGGCAGGCTCACGTCCTGCATCTCTTCATCGCTGTCAGGCACCATGACAGGCTCTGTGCTCGAGACATTAATGCCCAAGACAGAACCTAAAGCGCCCGCAGCCATGTCCAGCATTTGCCCGACCTCGACATCAATCAGTTGCGCTGCTCTACCTACAGTGCTTTCGGACGGCGCGCTGAGAAGAAAGAATGCCACGGTCGAACTGTCGGCGCCACATCGCAAGGCATCCAGAAAAGCATCATCTGTCATCTGAAAAGTAGCATTGACATCCCATACAGTCACCATAGCCGGCGAAGCATCGAGGCTCTCCACTGCAACGCAATGCGGACTGTTCCCATTTTCGAGGTGTAGTAGCCATTTTCCTTTCGGTGCTTTCTCCAAGAACAGCATGGGGTGC